ACTACGAGATTTACCTCAGTTTAACTATGACATGTTATTTATTTATTATAAATTTATGGTGTATTAATTTCCTTATTGGTCGAATAGTTAGATGCAAATCACGGTCTCGGATTCAAATCGGCTATTGCAAAGGAAATCTATGACCGTACCTCTAATGATTACATAAAGCTATTCGCCGGCTCTCGTAGTGCACCAATAGATTTTTATAGTTTACTAGCTGATCCGGCAAACATCGTTTTGCCATAAATATTATTTCTAGGGAGCATTTTTTTAGTTCAATAAAATAACTATAATAAAAAATAGGGGTTGATCGTAGAGGGTTGAAAATTTAGGCTGGTATGTATTTTTTAATGCTGTATCATAAAAAAAACTATCTTTAAATTAAAAAATCCGTTGTCCGATCCTCAGACTTACCCAATATGCACACAAAATTTCATGAGAATCGGTCAGGCCGTTTCGGAGGAGTTTAACCACAAACACCGCGACACGAGAATTTTATATATTAGATTTGAGAGCACAGAAAGAAAACTTTATTAGCGCACAGCCACAAAGCACGATGTGGCTGTAACACTTTTAATATTTATTATAAATAAAGGGCAACTTAAAGCCGAAAAGTTGTTTAGCCATTGAGACCGCAGACTGTCCCATACAGCATAAGTTCAGACAGTGTTTGCAGCTTTTATAGTGAGCTTTTGCAACTTCTAGCTTATGACAGATGTGTAAACCCACATAAAACTTATACAGTAAGTTAAAGAAACAAGTTGGTTTGTGGCGAGATAACTTTTTTGAAGTATTTTAGCAGATAAGCATCATTGACATTTTCTTGTAATACCTCATTATATAGGTATAACATTAATATTATCGAAAAATTTCAATTTATATGTAAAAAACTAAAAATTTCCCGTTTTCCCATACAACAAATTGAGGATACATTTTAGATAAATGAAAATATAAAACCTACGGGACAGAAATATTATAGCTGACTTCAACTGTGTTTAAACCATAACTTATTCAAAATAAGAGGATCCAATTGTTTACTTTTTAGTTATTCAAAAGTGAATACTTAAATGAATCTCAACTATAACCAACCTATTATAACCTATCTAAGGAAATTCTGTTGCAATCTACTTTGTACTTTAAAACTTAACAATACTTATTGCGTATTAATCCTCTTTATAAATAATGTTTTGTAATAATTATAATTAACGTCAAATAAATAACTGTAACGTGTGAACGGCGCGGCACCTTAGGACTAGACCTGGCGGCGACATGAAGTAACTAGTCTAGTCGACAAGTTGAAAATGGTACAAAATAGAGATACTGCTCTTAAAATTATGTGCGATAGCTCATTGGATCCGGAATGACGTCTAGAAAAATGTGCCAAAGGCGTGTATTAGCACATAAAAAATTGCAAATGTTATAAACAATTAAAGATGAAAAAAATGGCATTTCGTTTTTTACCAATATTTAATAAACTATTAATATTTAAGAAGTTTCAAAAAAAGATTCTGAAAGAGGAGGAAATTTCCAATAAAAAACTCCCAACTCCCGGAACTCTATCTCCATTAACTGCGTGTGCTGCAATGAAAAAGGTTCATAGATTTCTTTGTAGCCAATGGGGGGCAAATTTGAACATTTGACGATGCAGCAGTATAATCCGGCGTTGATTTTTTGTTAGAAACCTCACCAAAATAAATATATTTTTTACACTTTTTCTTTTAAAAGCACTCATTGTTTATCAAATATAATCAAGACGCAGGTATATACGTGAGTGTTATTTCCAAAACGTGCCCACGACCTCCCATGTCGATTCAACACTAAAAAGAGTCACGCAGCGCCCACGCCGCCCATCCTCCCTCTCTTGCGTTTACGAGGCGTACGATTTCCGACAGCTGAGTACCGACATATCTCCTAACGCAAGGAATTAAAACAATTACAGTACTGTGCGTTAGGGACCTAATCCATCTCTAATTTCTTTTTTAATGTCGTTGAATTCAGCTTAAAGTAGGAAGCAAATATGTATATTTGTCCTGCTCATACTTAAAGAACTTTACAAGTTAGATCCTTCCGCAAGGAGTGAAAAAACACGATTATGTTCAACGCACAATACAAAAGTCCAGCAGGAGATCTGATAGATCTCGTAATGCAGCGAACGTGTTAAACCCAAAGTATTTATCAAGGATACGGCATTACCTATTCAAATGATTTGTTTAGAGAATTTATTACATGGCGTAAATAAAACAATTAAGATCTTCTGATGTTTAAAGTTAAAGTTTAAATTGGAGATCCAGAAAGTTTAGAAAATCAACTCGTGACTGGCGGAGTGGAAGGCACCAGACTTCGAGGCCGATCCCCTACTCGCTGGACCGATCAAGTAAAGACCCTTACACGTCTTACCACCACCCAGGCGCAGAGGCTTGCCGAAGACGGTGTAGAGTGGATGAAGTTGTGCGGCGCTACTTACACGACCTTCAGAAACGAAGAGTGCGACTGAAGAAGAAAATGTTTAATGACACGTACATAAACATCCACAAAGCGATTACGTACTTAAAAGTACGTTGCCTCTGATGAAACACCTCTTCAGACAGCAGTACTTGAAGAAAATTGTTTCTATTTGTAATAAAATATTTAACAAATAAGAATTTTTTTTAAGAAAAAATAACACTTGCAATCCGAGCTTAAATTTAATGAAATATTTTTATATACTTTTATTGCCCCCTCGTCTGTCTGACATAATTTTTAGTAAATATTATATTTTAATTATAAAAACTTAAAGTTTCGTAGAATACTAATTGAGTGTTGAAATAACTTTATAGTACTATTTTCTAGAAAGGATTCTTGTTTCAATTATAAACAGTGCAGCTTTGATTAATTTAATTAGCATTGCGAGAAATATACCTTCAACTTGATAGTGTTTTATATTTTGGGTTTCAACTGTTTTATTTGTAAAAGTAATAATAAATCATCAAATTTATTCCTCATTAAATTACTTGTTAATTGTAAACAATTTTTGCTAACTAAGTTTGTTAACTTAAATTGATGAAAACTATTGGCTCATACGATCAGCCCATTAAGCCTTAAGAATAATACTGTACAGTTTGCTAGTCAGTGGACTGTGAAATTTGTGCTAAAAATGTGAGACGTAAGAACCTTACATCCCTACGGACCCCTAAGCCCTACAGAGGTACCCTAACACATAAATAGTGAATATATAAATAAGTACGAGATGTCTGCAACAAGAGACCTAAGGTAATAGACGTAGCCCTACGGGTAGGATCAAAGGTTCGAGGTGGTGGGATTATCTCAATTAGCTACCGTGCAGGCTCACCACGATAATTAAGGGCTTGAAGTAGTCTTCGCCACTTTGACAGGGTGCGAAAAATGAATAAGACAGAGCAATATTCAAATCTAATTTATTATTCAAAAACATTATCTTAAATACTAATTACACCTGTTCACACATACATGATATTAGCTATTCTAGTGAGCTGTTGGTGTATGCTTCAGCTTTTAAGATTTGGAACACACGTGAGCCGTGTCAGCAGATGATCAATATTCAAATAAAATATAATTAAAATTGCTCTTGAACTGCTAAGATTTAGAACACACGTGGTCCATGTCAGCATTTGGTTGATGTTCAGATGATGAAATCTGAACAAATACTGTCACTATTTACTATTATTTCCCGCCTGACTGTAGTTATGCAACCTAACAGTAGTTTGGAAGTTAACTACTAATACATATTTTAGTTATTAATTAGAAGCGCAAACCAAATGTTAGCAATCATAGTACACTTGTAGTCAATAAATTGTAAAACGTCAGTTAAGTAATAAATGTGCCCTTTAGTTTTTCCCACACTCATAAATTGTAACATTCTCGTTTCCGATAATGTCCAATAGGTCCGACTACACTTATATTTAAGTGTCACTTAGATTTAAGAACCCTTAAATCAGTCAAGGTAGTTTTTTCTTAGTCTAGTGTCGCAACCCCACTACCTCTTATTTTATGTTAGATCAAGTTTTGAACGATCAAAACCAGTTGACGCCCAGCTTCAAATAAAGAGTTTCATTTAACATGCATTTGAATATCCCTCCAACAACCACCACCATTTTTTTATAGCACAGGGGCAAACAGCAGGCTCATCTGATGTTAAATCAAACCGCCACCCATGGACACTTTCAATGCCAGAGGGCTCGCAAGTCCGGTGCCGGCCTGAGTTGGTAAAATTTGACGGTGCTAAATGATTTCTTACCCATTTTTTATATGATCTATTCCATTCTTCATATCGCTCTTGACTAGAGGCACTGAAGCATATCAGTGCCTTTACCCAGCAGTAATCTAAAAGGAAACTGTGAATACATACTGTGTATAATTTATTTAATAATAAAAATATACATTTCTAGGTAAAATATAAAAATCAGCAGGTGAAAAAAATATTTTTTTTAGTATAAAAGCATTGCTAAAAAATCACATAATAAAAGGCATTCCACAAAATAGCGTGAAAACTAGGAAAATTACATCTCATAATAAGTGCATCGGAGCACAGGGGCCATTTCGAATCGGCGGTAATAACAATAACCAGTGGCCAACGGCTCCCCATAAAAACGAATAGTAGACTGTGGTTTTCGTCTGGAATTAAATTCGTAACAGGCTAATATCGATACTGAAGCCGATACGTCTCTAACATTATTCAAGCATTTTATCGTCTGACGAATATAAAAATACATATTAATAAATTATAATTATTTTCTTTTTTAAGTAAATGATCAGCCCTATATGCTCGGCTCTATACACGTTGTCGATGTTTGGGTCAGAGTCATATCAGTTTCCTCACCATGTTAGATGCGCGCAAAGAATCAAAAATTCATTGTTGTACAACCTTAATTCGAACACACGATCAGGGTTGCGAGTCGCAAAATTAAGCCACTAGGCCACCACTTTTGTCATATAAACATACACTAGTCTGACTATTTATTTTTACAACTACTGTTTACCGTTAATTACCAATGAAATAGTGTATCGGTTGTTTCAGCCTGTCGACGTTCACAGCTGTACATAGGCCTCTCCCCTAAATTTCCAGTACGACCGGTTCCCCACGCTCTCCATCCAACACCTTCCCTCACCAGGTCATCTGTCCACCTTGTGGGGGGCCATCCCAAGCTTCGCCGTCTGGTCCTCGGCCCCGGTTTTTGCCCTATCGGCCATCCGTTTTTCGGGCAATGTGCCCCACCCATTGCCAAGCTTAGGTCCTTTTTGCTTACATGACTTTAGTTCTTCTACGGATCACTTCATTTCTATTTAGAGGAAAATTCTTGTCATACTTTTGCCAAACAAAGTTTGTTTGAACAATTTCATTGAATCGTTAAACAAAGAGAGATGAAACGACAATAATAATGCACATAGGATTGCGAAGTCGTTTAGCTTATGCGTGGAATTGGAAATCAGACATCGGAAAACCGTTGAATATAATGACTGGCTTTGATTTTGAATAGAAACCGCATAAAGATATTCGAAGACCCTTACTAGATAATATGCGTACTGTTGAGTATGACATAAGTCGTACAGGTATTCTTTATCCAATGGCGCTACAACCTTTTCGGGCTGGCCTTCAGATTTATCAGTTCTGTGATCTGATTACTTAATAGTCAAGTTAGTTAGGTTAGGCCTTCTGTAATTGACACTTGACGTCGGCTTTTTGGATCTCAGGCCGGTTTTCTCACGATGGAAGCGCAATGGACACATTTATAGACAGAAAGTCCATTGGTGCACACCTCGGGGACGGAAATCGCACGCTGAAACCACTAGGTTAACACTGCTCATTGCTCGTCATTTCGTGGTATATCCAGTAGCGCTGTGACCCTTCCTAGGCCTAGCATTTCTGCATCTGTTTCATTGTATCATCATCACTTTTAAAGGAAACTGAATAATATCTGTCACAATCGCCAATTTAAATAAATCTCGTATTCGCGTAAATCATCAACAAAAGTTTTCAGTTTTGATGTCAGATCCTGAGACTCAGGGTCGAGACATCGTTTCTCAAAAACCAAACTAGATTATCTTAGTGAGACTATGACCGAAACTTACCGCAATTGGAATTCGTTGAGTTCAAACACATGACAAGGAATCTTGGTTAACCAGTTAAGTGGCTGGAAATACTTATTTGCATATAAATGTATGAAAACCCAACATGTGGAAACGTAAAAGTATTGTTAAGCACCAATGTTTTTAAACACGTTTAAATTAAATTTTCTACCTTATTTTCTGTACTAACTATTATTTATTTCGATGCCAATGTATGTATGTTTTGTACACTAAAAATCATTAATGTAAATAACCATACTCTGAGTTATTAAACAGATAAGTCATTAACTATCAAAATAATCATATTATATCCATTTAAAAGCTAAAAGTAAGGGCCTTCAATGCCCCATGCTTCCTTCCGTTAATCGAGCATTAAGTTTAATATCTGGGTAGAATTATATATTCAAATAAAATTATTGATTAACAGTATTTTAATATCTACTTTTATTTCTAATGGCTTACCAATAATTAGAATCTTAAAAAATTATTAGTCAGCATGTCAGCTGGCAGAGCCATTTTGGACTGTCAGCAGTGCGCGTTTCGCGACCATCGGTGATTTTGGAGTTCTGTAGATCTTTCAGGTTCACACTTTCATACAATTAGAATCTATAGCATGATTACTTTATAAATGAAACGAAAAATAACCACAGGGCAAACTCATTTAATCAAAAGAACTTAAAAGTTAGTTCGATTTTCTAAAAGTTGAGCACAATACTCGTATCACTTAGCTAATGAGTCGTGAGGTAGTTCAATAAATCTCACAACCTGAGTTAAACAAACATCTGTTTTTGTAAAGTTAGGACCGCAGCTTTTGCACGCTCATTTTCTAACTTCACCTATTACTGTGCCTCTGTGAAGAAAGCTTGTAATAGAAAATCATACATTTTGAAGTAACTTATGCATTAGCCTAATTATTCGTGAATTTTAATAAGTATATCCAATTGCTTTTGAGTAGTAGGCCTCGGATTTATCTGATTCATGAATTTCTCTGGAAATGAGTCTAAAATTACATTTACTGCCAGTTCTTAAGCGCATGGAACGGACAAGAAGAACTAGCAAAAAATTCTTCACCACTCTTTTAGAAAATTCCGATATAGATATCTATCTAAAATTATCGTGATTCATGTGCAATTTTTATCGTTCATGTATCCTTTTTTTAGTTTAGTTTTTTTTGTTCCTGTTTAGTTTTGTCTTAATAACTATATGTATTATGTATTTTTGCACTTCTTGCTTACCTTATCTAATTTAATACACTTTTTTTTACCTGGAGTTCTGAAGTACCTGGAAGAGATCGCTCGAAAGCGATAAGGCCTGGGTGCCCTCCTTTTCATTTAATTATGTTCAATTTTTATTATGTTAATGCAACAAAGTCTTAATAAATATATTAAATAAATAGATAGACGCCAAGATATTCGTTCAAACGCACGACCTGTATCGATAGGTATCACTTAAGATTTATCAATACCACCAAATTTTCAACAAAATTTTTTGTTTCAGTTATGGAGCATATATTTATTTCTTAAACTTATAAAACAGGTTCGAAGTTTCAAGTACACATCAATAGTCTCAGTGATCGAACAAAAATCTAAAATGCGTAATAAAACCTAAATGATAACTATTTTTACATTGAAATAAAAAGTGGAAATTTACTGTAATATTCCTAGCGTGTAGGTAAGTCGTATCTCCATGCCTTTGTTAACCTTCTTGAATACATAAGTTATATGTTGCTTCAACCTTACATTTGAAGTACAAAAGACATTTCTTTGCTTGTAAATGCTTAGAACTAAATATAATCTCAACTTAAATCTGTATTGTTACTGTGACGCGTCGCTCTGAATAAAGTTTACCCTTGCTTACAATAGCATTGTTATTTATTCACAGGTAACACATTGTATGGTTAAGAATTAAAAAAAAAATAGGTACATGACACAGATTTACATGACCTTAGACGGACGAGAAGTATTGGCAATTTCATAAAATCAGTTTTATAAAAAAATAGTTTGATGCCCTCTGGGGCAAGTCTGATGTTTAGTCATACCACAACCCATGACTTAATGGTTTGGTGGTAGGTTGAAATACCTTGAGGGGCAGCTGGTTCCACAAAGTGGGGTACGCATCAGAAAAGGGTTTTAGGAAACACTCAGTTGGTGAACGAACTCTTTCCGCCATTTTTTTACCGCAAGTTTTTTGTTTTACTAGATGCTTGCCACATGACATCTTGAAATTATGAATAATAACTAAGTTTGTGTACTCTTTTCTCGAAATTTGTATCAATATAAGCAGTAATTCGAAAACGTTTTCTTGTTGTAAACTATGTATCTATGTACATTAATACGCGAAAAGTAAGGTTTTAAAATCATACAAAATAAAAATAGATATAATTTTTGTTTCAGTTAACTAAAACCAAAAATTAAACAATCCAATTCAAGAGTAACAATGACATTTTGCACACCCTGCGCGGCAAAATTAGTTAAGTTGCCTTGTATGACAAATGACAATCTCGTGTCTTATGTGCAAATAAACAGAAGAAGGTGCCTGGTTGGATATATAAAGATGATGTACAATGTGGTTGTGGAGCCTACTTGAAGCGAGTTATAGAGTGGTCAATTGATCCACATTAATATACAGCCCAGCTTATATAACTCACACATAACATTAATTATATGCAATAAGCTTTAAGCATTTTAAAGAGTTCTAGTGAGATGTATGGGCAAAACGTTCCAATGAGAGAAAACTCCTAAATTTTGTGCCTCATTAAAATTTGCAGATATTCTAGAAAGGCACGGTATTTAAGCCGGCAAGTTGAATCTAAAAGTATGCCTTTGAGAAACTAAATGGAATCAGGCTCAGCTATTTTTATGTGACCTAAAAATAGTCTTATACTAAGAAAAGGTAAAACTTTTTACCGTGTCCTTTGTTATGAAGAACATTGTGACCACTCACTCTTGAACTTGTGTCCTTTGAAAAAATAAATTCTACCGTTTATACCATTTCTTTGTAATACCCCGGTTTTCTACGAATTTATGTTCACAATTTTATTCAAAAATATTTAATCTGTGTAGACCAGTTAAATCATACATTATAGTTTCTACATGTAAGTTATAACACGTAGCATACGTACGCAACGATATCAGGGATGCTGGGATCACACAGAATATTTCCTAAAGTGTCTCGCAAAAAAATTAAGAGCAAAAGCCTGTCAGACTCACACAAACTTAGCATATCTTCCGTAAATTATGAAATGTCACAGCTTAACCTTAACTCAAAGTTTCAAGTTTAAAACAATACTGTGGAGATAGAAACTTTGTGAGAGCTTCCCTATACTCGCGAAGTGTGCACGATCTTTACAACGTACGTTTTATCATGGATAATTTGTTTTATATAATTTTAATTGTCCTTAAAAGTTGCCTGAAAGAGATCGTTTGAAAGCGGTGATGCCACCCGTTGCCTTATTGTTTAATTATTATAACTTATGCTGATGTATGCAAAGAACTGAAAATAAATCATTAATTTTCGAATAGAGAATAAAAAAATAAAATAAGAATCACTTTATTAGACGGAAAAACAATTACATTTTGTACTTACATTCTAAAGGTAAGTAGTAACTTTAGAATTTAAACTATACATCTATTGAAAATATACACTCCATAACACTCTTCTAGCAGTAGATGCACAATTATTTAATAACATCGTTGAACCACATTATAATAATCTAATGAAACTATACCTGCTTACTGTTAAGCACACCAATCATTGTTTGAAATAATTTCAGACTTATTAAATTTTTCAAATTTACTGTTCTTTTTTTCTTGTCAAAATAGTCGTTAATTATATATACTACATATAGTGCAAATGAACACATTCATAAGAAGTTCATCTATATACATATATCTGTTTAGATATTGGATCGTATCGTAACTTCTAAGGCTCTACCAAGAATAAACAAAACTTGTCGTCCACTTACAGAAGTCACAGGGAAACTTGAATCGTGTACTTAAGTCTGAACTAACTTTATACATCCAACTGCCATATTAATAAATGGTCTAAGCAATTCCGCTTTTATTTAAGTCTATTGTCTCTAGTCGTGAATAAACTATAGAGAATTGATTTGTGTATAGTCATTTCTTCATACGATAACTGCAACCAAGTATCGTTAAACGAAACGAAACTAAATATTGCTCAATGCAGAAGAATTACCGTGATTTTTTGTAAAAAATTGTTAAACATAATATTAAACTAACAGCTGTTGTAAGCAAATGGACAGAGACATTTATTTCAACGAAAAACTAATGATCTGTTTCCATAAATTATAAGTGGGTTCTAAGCCTTCGAACATTTGCAGGCTGGATTCGAACCCAAAACCTCTGTCATACCATCTAAGCAAACATGGGAACTGTTTGAATAAAATTTTACGTGTAGTGTTCTTCACAGATAGCTACAGTGCCACATAATTATTTTAGATTGCCACTCTCAATCTCTATGATGCCGCGAAAGAATAACAAATCGTAAATAAAATAAAATAATCGTTAATATGTCATATTAAAATCACTTTTTTGGCTTATAAAAAACAATTGAAATTCACAATAAAGCACATGCACTAGCCATTATAATGAGAAAGTATTATCTATTTATATTTATTTAATTTTGTTTAAAAGTTTTCCCTTCGTTTTAGAGTTGATATTATTCTAGAATCTAGGCACTTGTCAACGTCAACATGGTTAATTGAAGTTAACGTGTTTCGCTTCGTAGCTGCTTAGGCACTAAGTAGCATACTAAGTGCTCTAAGATGGATCGATAGCTACATATTAATACCTACTCACTAGCTGCACTTAAATTGTTTTGTAAATACTTTAGGTAAAGATTATAGGTGGTATATTTAATAATAGGAATTTTATAGCAGCGGTGGTGACTAAAAGGCTTTACGTTATCTACAATTCAGGGCGTAGACCTAAGAAAAAGTAATATAATTTTTTGATAATATATGTAGCGAAGTAGACGACTCATTGGTCTAGTGGTTAGTACCCCTGACTGCGAATCCATGGGTCCCGGGTTCGATCCCCGGCTGAGACGAACATCGATGTGATGAGCATTTTGTGTTGTGCTTAGGTCTTGGGTGTTTAAATATGTATTTATATGTCTATCTATAATATGTATGTATATCCGTTGCCTAGTATCCATAACACAAGCTTCACCAGCTTAGCATGGGACTAGGTCAATTGGTGTGAATTGACTTAAAAAAAAAAAGAAAAAAAAAGAAGTTCAAATGGTGTGTACCGCTTCGTCTTTGTAAAATCTACACGGCCTATGTACCGTTTTAAGAGCTAACTCACTTAAAAACCGACACAGAATTAAATCAATAAAAACATTTCAAATTAATTTGATATGGATATTGTTATTTAATTTTGAATAAATTTTCAAATCACACGGATTTATTTAAGATTCTTGAACAAATTTAAAAGATATAAATCAAAAATTCCGTTATGAACTAAAATTCGCGAGAGTTCTGAAATTCCAGTCATAAGGCTAAACTTACGACTGTCAATTCCACAGAAAAGTTAAAAACTTCTTTCATAAAACTCATTATTATCGAAGCCTTTGTTAGATGAATCGAGAAAATAGAAAAGAAATTATAGCGATCTTCAAATGAACACTTTAAATTAGAGAATCTTTTTGAAATATACGCTGTGGTCGAACATAACTCACATTTATTGGAACGATAAGGTACGAACAAAGAACGTTTGTGACGTAAATCAAAAAATTATTGTTACATTATATTATTCCAAAAACTATAATATGAACAGAAATCACATAGTAAATCATTTTGCGGTTTATTTCACGAAATGAGCTATGAATTTATTGTTATTTTTCTCTCACGCCATGAAATGAAATAAATTACGACGATTGAAATAATTTATTAAATAAGTATTGTTTATTGATATTTTTGTCATATTAATAATGTGGTTTAATCAATTATGCGTTGTGTTTCTGGAAACTGAACACTGGTAAGTATATTTATATTATTCAGACCTTTTTAGGTCTGCGCCTCAGATTTCTGTATTTGTTTCATGATCATTTGTTAATCTAATAGGCAAGTAGGTGATGAGCCTTTTGTGCCTTACGCACGCCGTCGACGTTTGGATCTAAGGCAAGCCGGTTTCCTCGCGATGTTTCACCTCGCGTTCACCGTTCACCGGTCGAGTCAATGTTAAATCCGCACATAGAAAGAAAGTCCATTAGTGCACAGCCGAGGATCGAACCTACGACCTCAGGGATGACAGTCGCACGCTGAGGCCACTAGGACAACACTATATGATAGTATTATTTAGTATAGATTTTCTTATACTGCATATTCACCTAATTACCACTAAGTATGATTCCAATACGCTTTTGACAATCGGGAATCGAAGCTTATTAATAAATATAAAAAAGAAATAATTCCTAATGCGCAAGGTTCGAACGCACCAATTCTCAGGGTTGAGAATTGCATTATCGAGGGAATTGCGAAACATATAAGCACAGTATATTGTATAAAAAGGCTATAAATCCTTTAATTTGTCACCGACTGGCGCTAATGCGGATGAATGGTCTGAGAGAGCGCTAAATTAAACTCTCGGAATAATGAAGTGGACGCATTCGTCTTCATTTGAGGATTCACGGCTTATTAGATACATATTAAGTCGTCCGCGAACTTTAGGGTCACTTGACAGTTTCCTAGTTACGTTGTTTGACAGTTTTGGGTCTGTGATATCGGAGCATGAACCCTGAAACGACTTTTATGGGAATCTGCAATTCAGGTAAGTTTGGTATTAGGGTTGCAAACGACAATTACAATTTACATTTTTAATAAAAACTTTCAAATATAACAATGTTTATATTATTCCTAGACTAGAAACCAGCAGCAAATCCGTTACTCCGCACATCCCAGGCTCCTTCTAATACACCATTTGTATGTCGAACTAGAGCACCAGCTTGTCCCACCATTTCAGAAAACGCAGGCAACATTGCCATAACATGACCTCTATCCTTTAAATAATTTATGGTTTCTTGTGAAAATCTATTTTCAAGACGCAGTATACTCGTAGGATCCATAGTAAGTGGCCCATATGCCCATCGTGGGTCGTAAACAGATTGTTGTAAATTCTTTCCTTGAACCACATATCTGTGAAAAATTGCTGTTTGAGTTTGGGGTTGGCCATCTCCACCACGAGTTCCGTATAGCATAACTCTTCCATCGTTCAATATTGCAGCAGCTGGGTTAAGGGTGTGAAAAGGTTTTTTTCCCGGTTCTATAAATCTTAAACTGCCCGGATTTAAATTAAATGAAACACCTCTATTCTGCCACAAAATACCAGTCTTAGGTAGCACTACGCCACTTCCATATTCGTGGAATATACTTTGTATAAAAGAGACTGAAAATCCTTCTTTATCCATAATACCCATCCAAATTGTGTCACCTGGTCCATCTCCATTTCCTTCGGATGAAGCCCGTTCTAGATCTATGCGACTTGCCATTTCAGAGATATTACTTTTCGAAAGCAATGATTGAGCAGAAACAGTCATATATCTAGGATCAGTTACGTATGTATCGCGCAATTTAAATGCCTGCTTGGTAGCTTCAACAGCGGCATGAATAAATTCACCTTCATGTTTTCCATCAATGTGTAAGTCGTCTAACATACCAAGTATGGATAGCGAAAGTATCCCTTGTGTAGGTGGTGGTAAGTTTAATAACTCACCATGCGAATGTTTCAGCCTCAAAGGTCTACATCGTGTAGTATTATAATTAAAAAGGTCGGATTCTGTTATAGGCATGCCGAGAGTTTGCATATCTTCGACTATTGATTGAGCTACAGTGCCACGATAGAAACTATCCAATCCGTTATTTGCAAGATCTTTAAAAGTGTTTGCTAAGTTTTTCTGATACAAAAGATCCCCAGTTTTTAAAACTCTACCAGCAGGATAAAATACATCTTTGAAGTATTGAGTAAAATTTGTTAGCCTCGTCTTAAATATTTCATTTGCTTTTGCCTGGCTTGATGAAATTGGAAAACCGTGTTCAGAGTAGGCTATGGCGTCTGATAGAAGATTAGCGACAGGCATCGGTTGATAACCAGATTCTGTTAGATATCGCAATGCCGCTTCCCAGCCTGCAACTGTTCCTGCTACTGTAATCGCAGACTTTGGACCTTTGTCTGGAATTTTATTAATACCTTGAAAAAAGTTCAGATCAGCTAAGCTTCCTGCCGGACCAGACGCATCAATAGCTACGGGATCACCATTCGGTGGGAGAATCAGCCAGAAACTATCACCTCCTATACTATTCATATGAGGGTACACAACGGATATTGTCGCTGCAGCGGCAACCATTGCTTCAATAGCTGTCCCGCCCTGACGTAATATCATTATGGCAGTTTGAGTAGCCAGGTGATGTGGTGTAACCACCATGGCATTTGGTGCCATAACACTTACGTCCATGTCTCCTTCACTCTGTAACAATCGAATTAATAATCAAAATGCTACATAAAATACCATCTCTAATATCTATATGAGTAAATATCAACTAACTTATAGGGAAAAATTAAAAAAATTCACCTGTTTTCCATATTCCAACATAAGGTAAAAATAACATTATTAAACGTATAACTAGAAATTAATAAAAAATAAATCAGTGGCGCTACAACCTTTCTTAGGTCTGGGCCTCAGATTTCTGTATCTGTTACATGATCATTTGTCAATCTAATAGGCAAGTACGTAATCAGCCTCCTGTGCCGTCACACACGCCGTTGACTTTTCTTTGGGTCTAAGATGGTCTCACGATGTATCCCTTCACCGTTCGAGCGAATTTAATATGCACACATAGAAAGAAAGTCCATTGGTGCACAGCCGGGAATCGAACCCACGACCTCAGGGAAGTGAGCCGCACCCTGAACCCACTAGGCCAATACTGTTCAACATACTTGCATACTAGTTTTTACTTACACAATAATATAACGTTCAACTTCTATAAATGCATTCGAATACTTACATAAAAATAAATAAATACATATTATTCTTGTTTATGAAACTTAACTTTCATAAATATTAAAAGCAATCATATTATTTGGATACTCCAAACATAAATTATGTTTTGCTAAGACATAAGCAACGCCATCTGTTAAAAAATGAATGAACCACCAGAAAAGTAGACTGTGACAACAACCATATTGTTGTCACATTCGTAGTCCTCGGCAGCGCTAATCATCCTAGTATGTACTATGATAATGACGTGGTATAGGTATATATTATATATTATGGCAATAGTTTTAACTTTATGCCAGTTTCAAGTAAAATATGACGTGGTATACAAATATACAATGCATAAAATACTTTTTAAAACCTTACCCTAATAAAAAATACAACGTTAATAATTTAAAGTTTAAAAATAGCATTATTTAAATTATTACAAGAGTTATAGTTACGGGTAGTTGAATCTATTAAATTAATTGAAAACGGAGAAATTTTAATAAAAATAAATAATCAAAATTATAGTCAAACTTTTCACACTTAGTTATATTTATAAAATATATATACAACTGTAAAAGCAGTAACATATTATTAATATATACCTTAATTTTATAATCGACCATAATGTTTAATACACAATTAAGTAATATAATTCACACTAAACTTTGATTTGTTAACAATTTTTTTATTAATTCATAAAGTACCTACCTATTTTATTTTTGATTATAATTACTGGAACGTACTTATATTTTTTATTCAGGTTTGAATATTATAATAATTTACCAATCTTTATTTCAATAATTTTAATATATATTTATTCGACTCAACATTACCGTCAATTTAATTTTTTAAAATTGAAAGTGAACCATTTATTTAAAAATATAATCTGTAGAAATCTTATAAACGATCTTAAAACTGTGACATATTATTAATGTATATCACACTAGTCAGATTAACTAAGTGTAATAGGGTCGAATAAAATGAGATCATATTAATGATATTCAAAGTGATAATCTATTTTCAATCTGCTATTAAGAACTAGGTATGTCTAATCGTAGTTAAGATTAACAATAATAAGGTCGGTCATTCACATTCGCTAGACTTCGCCTCGCATAAAATGCAATAATTATTCCCTTAAGTATTGTTAAAAATTTTCTACACTTGGGGGTTTCCAAACAGATTGCCTTTTTTTGCTGTTTTTCGGCCTATATATCGGTTGGTGTCGCTATACTTTGAATTTCCATACTACTATTCGTATGAACGAACAATATGTTGAACTAGATGTTTCGCGTTAGTAGTGTTGCCACTTATAAAATACAGAATTTAAGGATTTTGAGCAAGTTTCGACATGTCAAGTGACTAATGAATATTGATACATAAACATAATTGTAAATTTAATTGAAAGCCTGAAATAAAGTAAAATCTATAATTTAGTACTTGAAGTTAACTTAGGTTTTAATGAATTCAAACATTCACTGAAAATAGGTACATGTTCATCAGATCCAGGTTAAATTAATCAGAAAATGGAGGGTTGAGTCCATTGTCATTGGTAAAAAAATGTATACCACGAGCTAAAGAATAAATATTATGAACGACGTTAGATCTGGCAGGTGAAAGCGCAAATAAATCTGAAAACAAATCTTAATTAATATTAATGGAGAACAAAAAGCCCGATGCAACAGTGAACGTACTAAGTCGATATTTTTATTTTAACTATCGACAAGTTAACATTGCTATTAATTAATCGATAATTTTGTGTTGTTGCACAACACTACTTGCGAGTAGTTTCAATTTGGCATTTTGCATTTCTGGATTTTGCAACACCCGGCGGACGGTGTTTGATCATGAGTATACTGCGTGAATAACTAAAATAGATTCGTATTATTTTCTGTTGTTGTGACGTAATATCAAGGCAAACGAACTTTACACCGATTCTAAGTTATAATATTTTCTATCGAAACCCAAGAATTATTGTGTAGTGACAAAAATCACTGTAATGTTTAAATTTTTGTCCAATTCCTTGATTACGCAGGCCAGCTGTCAAGAGGTGGGTAAGTTTATTTTAATTTTGCGGATTTTTCTATAAAAATGAACTTCTGTTTGGTGGATCTTTTTACATAAAATTTATTAAGGAATTAGTTTCCAATTACAGAAACATTGTCCTTGGTAGTTTGCCCTTGAATTGGTCTGTCTGTCGGCCAATGTTGGCACTCACTGGCTGCCTATTTCATGTAAATTATGAGCAGTCGTGCAGTATATAATATATAGTATACTATTTGTATTATTTGATTAATAAATTAAACACAGTCCTATTTCACTAAGTAGTTCTTATTAGATAATACATCGGACATCCTAACCTTTATGACCTTAGACATGCAATAAATCTATTGATGCGTTGTTCGAAATTTAAAAGACAGCAAAGTTATTTGTTACTTAATTAATTAAACATAATTTTTTCGATAAAACGAAAAATTAACTATCAGTTTTTTTATTTACTTCAAATCAATCTCCATGAATGATGAAAATATTCGATATCTGTGTATTTTTCTGAAGTAAACTTGATAATAATTCTTATCTCTTACGTTAATTTATTTAAAAGATAACTTTAGTCTGATTCAAGTTTTTACTTCAAAATGTCATCACGTCGGGTAAAGTTTTTAAAATTATTGCGTTATTGCCATATTGAATTTTTGTATGTGACGAATAATGAATATCTTAGTGGTTTTAAAATAATATTGTCATGTGTTGAACTTGTGAAACATAAATATCAAGTTATGAGGTTATGTTCAAAGTATTGAGTATTTATATTTTGGTACAGTTTCCCACAAAAACTTATCTTCTTCTAAAAAAAGAATGGTTGTGTTCGAGTTTATTTCTTCTTTCATAGCTTTTAATAATTAAAATCCATGAATAATAATATGTAATTAATAAATATCAAGTAGTGTTTGGTATAATTTGTTTAGCAGAGTCATTGTTGTGGGACAAAGAGTTGCATTTAAAATTGCGATTGATTTTACTGAGTTACATGCCAGAATGTGTTTATACATAATTATCAATTGCCTTGATTCTAAATATTTTTATTTTTTGTATGCTTATGATCATGTGAAGACACAGTGACTGATAGGTTATCAGTGACCCTGTTTGATGTTTCTATGTAACATAACGGGCAAAAAACATTGCATTAATTGCTTATTGTTCAATCCACATCACAATACATTTATACACAATACACTATGTAGAGATTTAGTTGGTAAAACTTTTCCTGCAATATTATGAATGTTTCTATTTAAAAGTGGATTTTTCTTTAAAATAGTGAATAATGTGTTTTCTTTCACTATATTATCAAAGTAACTATAATTAGCATTAATAAGCTACTAATAATGTATGACACAATTCCTGAATATTTATAATATTATTAATGTAATACTCACAGTTAACAGCAATTTGGAATGGTTACAATATCAAAATTTAAATTTAGAATGGTAGATATTATAAGTTGTATTATGTTTTTATAATAACAGTATTTATACAAGATATGCTAATTATAGTCATTAATTGCTAAGATAACTTTTAAAGCCAAGCTCGTTCAAGTCTATATGCTTATGTTTATTATTTAAGATGGTACTGCTGAAAAACTTTTAATTCATTTCTGTTTTTGTGAAATTTTGTTATGTTACAATAAATTAATCTTAATGCTTGTTACAGGGGGCTGGGTATTTGAAAAGAGCCGATTCAGATCGTCTTCGAGAGATTTTCTTGAAATATGCCAGTGTAGATAAAAATGGTGAAAAATATATCACCAGTGAAGATTTTGTCAGGAAATTCCTTGGACTCTTCAATGAAGGTAAATATATAATGTAAATTTTTAATAGAACCTTAAATTGGTAGAGAAGTCTTTAGCTTACTTTTTATTTACCATTTAATATGTAGTTTATAGTATTTCATAATATTTATTGACTTTGTCATGTTTCCGCTGTATTAATTTGTATGTGTTTCAAGTACCACTTTGTATTTTATGTATTTTTTCTATGGCTCTGTATATATCAAGTGAAGCTCACATAAAATCAATGTTTGGATGCCAGTGAGCAGGAATAAATGTCACCTCTATATATACTATACACTTGTAATAGTCAGTTAAAATAGGTTTTAATATATCAATATATTGTATGTTATCAAATGGATATTATTTTCATTAAATTCTTTCACTGGATTTAAATGTATAATTGCAATATTTTCTAGATGACTACAACAAAGAGTCAGTCCAGCTCATTGCTGGCATTGTGGATATGGACAAGGATGGCTTCATCTCATTCTCCGAGTTCCAGGCATTTGAGGGACTATTATGTGTTCCCGATGCACTGTACAAAACTGCCTTTCAACTTTTTGATACTAATGGAAATGGCCTTGTTACATTTGGTAAGAAGTTGTTTTGTGCAATCTAATCACTGAAGTGTATGTAAGGGGCCAATAATTGGGTAAAGCAAATACATATATCTATTTGTGTTAGCGTACAACAGCTTGATCTGAACTATTATATTGTACACTTTGTAATATGTATTTTATTATGTTGAAACAATTTAATACATAATTGAGTTGAGCCCATTATAATATTTTGGTGGTGTTCCTTAAGTAATTTCATTTATTTCACTATAACTTAACAAAAATGTACTGTATAACTCGAAAATTATTACATATTTAGACAAAGAAAATATAACACAATTAGAGTAAAGGTATGGTTCAATTCAGTATTTTTTCTTCAATAACTTTTTACCAGAAAATTTAATGTGTTACTGTTTTTTTTTCAGATGAGTTCGCTGATGTCATGAAAAAGACTGCTTTGTACAAGAAATTGCCCTTCAATATGGAGAGCACTTTCGTACGCCTGTACTTTGGAAAGGTAAAAATTAATAATTTACGTAGAATAAAGATATCCTCGGGTTTTTTTATAAAAATGTGTTTTGCGAAAACTCTCTCGAAGTCAAAAATGAGAAAAACATTAAAACAGTCGCAATAGGGCTTTACAACTTTGTTCCCCGAGGCAAGCAATATATGACGCTATCAGTCCTAAACGGCTGAATCGGCTTTAATAATTTATGCGTAAGACAAAAAACCTTGAATACCTGGTTTATAGACAAAATTTTTGCCGATAACCAGTATTTCAATAAAAAAAACTAGTTTTTCATATATACCTTTTGTAAATTAATATCAATTTAAACATTAACTTTATCTAATACATTACACCTATTGTTCACTTACCGTAAAATGTCGAATAACACTATTATAATTAACAGTTTATCATTAATATTATTACCATAATATACGTTATATTGCTTGAACGTGTATCGAAGAAAAATACATATTACGCGCGCGAAATCGTGTGGAAGTCTACTCTAGTTTCCTGTGCCATTGCCGCTATTATCAAATTTTACGAAATATAATCACACCATTTATCTTGATTTAAAAATGTTTAATTTTATACGCGACAGCGTCTTTCAGGTTAATTTAAAGTGATACAGATAGATATCGAAAGAACTATATTGATTATTATTATTATTACTAACAAAACACACAAAATAACAATAATCAAAAAAAAATGAGAGATAACGATTTTTTTCTTATAAAGAATGTGTACTGTGGTTGTAATTGGCCCTAGCTTAGCATTATGCTGAGGAGCAGACTGTTCCACAGCGATTAGATTGTCTTTTAATGAATAGGGGTTTTAGGAGAGCCTATTGTTATTAAATGAGCTAATCTTATGTAATAAAAAAAAAATGAAGGCTTGCCGGGTCTGATTATTGAAATATAGCTTTAAATATATCATCAAAAAATATATGTTTAACGATTATATGAAAAAAAAACGAATGCCAAACCCTTAAATTTACAATTTTAACTAGGCGAATTTAAAAAAACGACTACGTGCACTCGAAACGAGTTAATAATGTAATTAATTTGCATTAGTGTAGTACTTTCGTAGCAACAAGCTATATTGTAAATATTAATAAATTTTTCTTACGTCGTAATTACGCCATAGTTTATATAGATTTTTAGATATATCTTTAAACAGTCATCAGCAAATACAGCACACCAATATTGAATATTCCAGGACAAAAAGCGCCTAGTAACATACCCTGAGTTCAGTCAGTTCCTTCACGACTTCCACGAGGAGTATGGCGTGGAAGCGTTCAAGAAACGCGATATCAATGGCAGCGGATTCATCAGCGCTGGAGACTTCAAGGATATCATGTTGTCGGTCAAAAACCACCTTCTTACTAAGGAGATGAAAACTAAAGTTATTGAGGTATGTGAGCGAATGGTTCTTTTAACCCAACTTTTAAGATTTAGATGGCGCTGATAAGTATGAAAATTGCTTGTTAGCTCGGTTGATCTTAAAATTTCTTAAAATTTTATAAAATCACTTAAACTTTGGGTACCTTTTGGGACAATTTTGCATTAATTTATGGATAGATGCTGGGTGAATCACGCCTGATGAATATACCTTAATAAACTTGCGCAGACACTTTTAGTTGACGTTTATTTCAATTTTTTTTATCTATAAAGTTAGGGGAAAACAATTCGATAAGATTTTTGAACTAAACTTATTAGGTTTCGTTAATGTGGCACAGATTAATTAAAATTTTGTTTATTGTCAACCTTAAATTATCACTAATAAAAACTGTATAAATATAACAAGCCTAAATTAAAAAAAAAATACTTTAAGTTTGCGTAGAATTTGGCCCTGACCTTAGACTTATTTAAATATAAAATGTTTTTCTATGTGTTTCTATAATAATCAAGCAAAGTGTGAATTTGCGGTTTTTATACTATTGTCATGTTACAGCAATAAAATATAACTCGAAGTAATAACTTTTATCATATATTTGATATCAAAAATGTTATATTTCTTATCTATTATATAAATATATAGATACATAGTGTAAAATTCACTTCCGCTGTCAGTACGTTTTTCAGATACGTAAGCGAGAATTCGAATCTTACATTTAGATATGTATTTTAATTCTTACATATTTCTGTAATACCTAGTAATACGTAAATTTGCACATCACATATTACTACTTTAACTGATAAACAAAATATATCTAATATATAAAATTCTCGTGTCACAGTTTTCGTTGCCATACTCCTCCGAAACGGCTTGACCGATTCTCATGAAATTTTGTGTGCTTATTGTGTATGTCTGAGAATCGGACAACATCTATTTTTCATCCCCCTAAATGTTAAGGGTAGTCCACCCCTAAATTATTTTTTTTAATTTTTAGATAAATTACTTATTTTTTATTTTTTTATGATACAGCATTAAAAAATACATACAACCCCTAATTTTTATTATAAATGATTAACATGGCAAAACGACGTTTGCCGGATCAGCTAGTGTATATATAAACGAAAAACGTCATAATTCAAAGTAAAAATAAATTTACTACCACAACCATTCAAATATTTTCAGGACTACGGGCAATTTATGTCATTATTGATCGTGACTGGTTTTAACTGGTTAGATTACATTTTGTATTCCTACTGATAGCGATTGATATTCAATTGTAAGAATCAATTATTTAGGCAGATAAGATTATTTTAAGGAACACATACACCGAATAGGTTTTACATGTATTATAATTGTGTATTGAAATATTTTTATTGATTTTTTCCTTTAGTTAATATGTAAACTTTATATATATGTATATATCATGTATTATGTATCTATCTTTGGCTATATTTTTAGTATAATAATTTTTTGTTACATATAATTTATATTAGCTGTAGGATTAGGATACAAATAAAGGAAATAGCAAACTTACCGCACATTGCTCTTGCATTACACAAAAAACTTGTACAGGTAATTTTTTTGACGAGAAGATTACACTAAGTTTAATAAGTACTTGCCTACTGAGGTGTTCAGCCTTTTGTGCCTGATACACACCGTCGACTTGGGTCTAAAGCATGTTGGTTTCCTCACTTTCCCTTTTCCGTACGAGTGTTAAATACGCAAATGGGGTGCACAGATGGGATTCGAATCTACGAACTCAGGTATGAGAGTCGCATACTGAAGCCACTATTATATCTAATACATATCCGCTATTCATCTTAAATATATGATGTGACGTTGCCGCACTTACCAATAACCTTTCTATAAAATTCTAGAACAGAAAGTTGTTCAACAGATGATTGATAATGGAAATGCACCGGTTTGTTATTTGTCTTCGTATTTAAAACTTTAAATATGGCTAAAATCACAATAGAAAACATGAAAAAATACATGACATGGATCATTTAAGTTTACTTCACTTAATACGAAAGTATACATTAAGTAACATTTAAAATAATAATGGTATCTTATACATTTCAGGCGTCAGGCTTTCCTCAAGGCGAGAGAAAAATCAGTTTTCCATATTACATGGCATTCAATTCTCTTCTTAACAACATGGAGCTGATCAAACGAGTGTACTTGAACGCAACGAATGGACATCGAACTCTGGAAGTTACGAAGGAGGAGTTTCTTCATTCAGCACAAATGATGAGCCAGATCACACCTCTAGAAGTAGATATATTGTTCACATTGTGTGACCTGATACATAATAGCAATGGGTAAGTTAATTTTTCATCAATAACACAAAAATTAATTGAAATAATCTCGTAATGTCATAACTAGTCAACGTCATAATCTAATATATAAAATTCTCGTGTCACATTTGTTCCCATACTCCTCGGAAACGGCTCGACCGATTCTTATGAAATTTTTTTATGCATATTCAGTATGATTATTTTATGTACTATTATTTTTGAGAGCTTTGCTTACTTTTTCTGACAAGAAGGGGGGACGATAAATTGCAGTAATTCTGCTTACGTAATATATTACGTATAAAATACGTTACTTTGATTAGATTTAATCTCAATTGATAGTGTTTTAACTGTATATAACTAATGAGTGGCTTAATAATAAGTAAGTTACGATAATATGGTAATGTACCAATAAACATGGTTAAAATCTAACCCATATCTTTATCTAATCATAAATTTGGAGTTTAACCTAATCAGCCTAAGCCTAAGCCTGAATGGCGACAGAGGCGCAAAATGTGTAGGACTCCTTAGAATAAGCAACATTAAAAACCCGTTCGTGATAAACACTTACCTTTAATTCTTGAATTTTAACTATTATTATGGGAGACATGGAATGTGCGCCAAACTAAATAGATTGCTGCTGTGCACTGCTGTTTTTCCGTTGATTGCGTCGTAGTGATGTTATAAGAAGTCTTCTTCAATAAACGAACTACCTAGCACAAAAAAATTGAAATTCACCCGTAGATTGATAGCGCGTACAATCAAACTTAAGAAGCTACAAAAATATAAAAAAAAACCGTTTTTACAATTGATCCTGCGCTCTTATTGGTTGTAGACAAAAAAAGGGTGCGTGTACTTATGTACGCGCGTTATACTTCTTTGGCATTATTAGAAATAGTTTTTGATTGCATGCAAATAATTAATTACAATTAAATAATCAAAGACTGGAAAAGGAGTCATTATAGTCAATAAAGTTCAGTTTACATTTGAAAAATTAAATAAATAAATATTTATTATTATTCTCTTACATTAAGTGTAACATAAATTCTATTATTATACGAATGTTGTTTTTAAATTATGTCCAATGCCGTAGCATCTTCCGTGGGCAACTTCATTCTGTTAATTTTGTGTCACGGTGCGCGCGCATCGTAAAATTTCATCCTCATCAATTTTTCATAACGCGCCTAAGTAGTAAACGTCAAAAACCCGTGGTGCTGAAAATTCTCATATTGTATCTTCATCCACTAATAACCGAGTCACATAACTTTATGTGTACATTTATATATACATCTCGCTACGATCACGTACTCGTACGGTGAAGGAAAGCATCGTGAGGAAACCGAAGCTTGCCTTAGACTCAAAAAGTCGTTTCTGTCTGTTGACAAGAAAGATCTTACATGTTACTATCTCACAGACCTTAAAGGTTGCAGCTCCACTTGTTTTTCTATAGATTTATCAACTAATCATTCTTACAAATGTATGTATGCTGCCTACTTTCAATATTAATGAGTAATCCTCGGTAACGCACATACAATAGATTTTTTTGTCAAATTTTATCATTCATTCACCTCTGATGACCTTTAAGAATTCCAATGTCAATGGAAAGCGACAGCGACTACCCATATAGATAAACGTGATAAAACTTATCTTTATAATCTGAAATTTTACACACGGCGTAATATGTAGTACCATAGTCAAGATTGTTCAATAGATTATATAGATAGGAAAGGTCTTACTCATAAACGTATGCCCCATTAAAAGAGTGTTTTTAACAGGAGTGGGAAGGGGTCATTGTCATATAAAGTTTAATTGCTATTAGTGTTTATATAAGGGGATAAACTTTCAATTTCAAACCTAATAACCTCAGGAATGAGAAACGCACGCAATGCCCGCAAAAGCTTGTCACATTTTCGTCAAATTTTAATATTACATATAAAAAAATTGTCATTTTCATAGTGTTTTAGCAAATAAAATATAGGGTTTTTATTATTTTACAATTTATGAGGTGGCATCATTTCCTACAAGTCAATAACCTATAGGCGCAATAGAATAGCGACCCCAAGTGTGTAACCCAAGTATACACTAATATAATTATTTGATTTTTAAACTACAGATTAGAAATAAAGTATATTATAATATAATTTATGTGAAAGAATAAATTTTTACATTACGATACGTATTTTGTGCATAGCCCTACGACAGTACCAACATCGATGGTGCAGTCTGACACAAATGCAACGAGACATTCAGGGTTCGATGCCTGTGTGAAAAAAGTTTGTTAAAAGCTTAAAAGTGCACATTTTAATAAATTCCACGCATTAGAGAATGCTCATTGAAAATCCATGATGAATGGAAAAAGGTTTTGTGGTGAAAACTTTTAAATCCGTCATTAACGCAGAAATTGCTCGCATGGATTAGTTCTTCATTAATTCACTCTCCCACTTATTTTCTATTTATTTATCTTTAGCGCAAAGAAGGTCTTTTGCGTCTAACCAATGATTTACCTTACTTCTATAAGAAGGAATGGTACAATTGTTATGAGCAATAAATAGGGAATTTATAATATGTCTGAACAGGCGTAGAATGGCGGTAATGAGTGTATAATGTCGTGGCCACATTTTGAATTTAGCTGTTATTTTTATTAATGATTTTTCATTTAATAAAGAGGCGAGAATATATGACGAAACGACGGCTCGTTCCATTTAATAGTGAATGGTTAACATCATCACTTGTCCAATACGCGTTGACACATGAGATGGTGCTTCATAATATTAGTTCTGTTTATTCAAACACCAGGTTTCGTCTGTCGTACATTCTCGTCTCCCGAAATAAAACTAGTCACGAGCTTATCATTTGACATCCCTGTGTTCCGATATTTAGAAAGTCCGAGAAAATTGCCCGTTAATACGTTCGTAAACATTTATTTTTTTAACAGACGCATAGTGTACAACGACTTGAACACGATAACCCCAGAACAGTACTTCAAGCAAGTGACAAATCGTGTTGCTGAGATCAAGGCTGTGTCGGTAAGTAAAACCTTATTTATGTCCGAAATTTGTTTATTTAATATAAACTTTAGGTTGTAACCATCGCTGTGTAGGAAACTTTGATTCGGAAACATCACTAACTGATCGCTATGTATTCTCTTTTCAATGCTCCAAGGAGGAGGTAAATAACTTAAGGCCTTTTCGATTTGTAAACTTGTTCGGAGGCATCCTGGTGAGTAGAACACTGAAGTTATGATGTTTCTTTCTTTTGTCAGTGAGATTTTAGTCCTGTAGTAAATACAGTTGGTTATGAATGTTTATATTCAAGAAGTCTATGAAGTTGGGCACTGAAATCTCACAACTTTCCCATTCTTCAGCGATGAGAATCAAGACTATTTTCTTATTTACTTACCAAAATTGCAACGAATAGAGGGGGCAGAAATATATTGCGCGAGCTTTAGCTTGTCTTGTGATCATAAAATTCAGCAGGCTGCGATCGCAAAGTATTTTTGACTAGGGGCCGGGTCGTTTTGTTACTATCAATAATGAACTTATAATTGACAGAAAATAGCCAATCTTGGATTAGAATAATTTTTTCTTTGCAAACTATGCCATCTATGGTTAGCATAAGCCAACTTGACACATCAGTGTTCATCTGTATTAAATTAGTGTAATCCAATTAAGGATGTATTCTACCAATTGTGACTTTAAATCGCTGTTGAGAGTTACAGAGTACTGATATACTTATCAGAATCCATGAGATATTAAACAGGATTCTTCACATCATTAGTATGCTAACATTATTTAGTTGAACCAACCTAAAAAAACAAACGAATCGTTAAATCTCTAGCTCTTTTATTTACATTACTTTGATGCATGAAAAATTCTACGAATGCTATGGTGACGCGTCCTGTCCCCACTATACTTAAAACACTTGCAGCATCTTGTTTGGGTTCGAATGTTACACATCTTATGAATTACTAAGCGGTATGGCCGAAACATCATAAAATTATCTATAGTACCTTTGTTCTTTTTACCGCTGAAAATCTCAGTTCTTTCCGGAAAACGTTGGTACTGTACGGCAACTACACGTATAGAATAAAGAGGTATTTTTAAAGCTGAAAATAAAATTAAATGCATGGATATAACTAAACCATAGTAGATTGAAACCAATGTTTTCGCTATACCTGCTATTTTTCACATACCTTAAACCTTGCCAATTTTGTCTTTTTCACAAGCTATTTTACACTCGGAATTTTAGTATTTGTATAAATATTTAAGCTTGCAAAATCCATACGATGCACGTTTTCCTGTGAATTATGCGTTGAGGCAGGCCTTGGCTTGGTCCGAGTTCTATATCAATCGTTATAGTTACGAGTAGTAGTTTCTTTCTTCTTTTGTTATATTTATTGTACTTAACTGATTCTTTGACGTTGTGCCTTCTGTAAACCAACGCCTTGTCATCGCCATTTGGTGATGATGAAGCAGCAACTGAGCGCATCTCCTAACGTCTCTTTTTACGGGACAGCAGAATTTTAATGTACCAACTTTTATTTATGGTTTCATACTTCTGTGAAATAAATGTTTTGTTGTTTAGTAGATCAATAGTAATAAATGTTCTTTGTCCAGACTCTACTTGTACCAATTACGAATTATATTTTAATAATAGAACCAAATTTGGCATAATATTATAGATATTGTCTGTGTCAATGCATATTTCACCTTCTTTTATAGTCTTCTGTACTTAATTGTATGCAATAAGTTGTATTTGCTTGTTTCAGAGCCCCGAAGAAAGAAGTATACTAATTCAAATATTGGAGAGCACCTACAGATTCACACTCGGTTCATTTGCTGGTGGTAAGTTTAAAAAAAATTGTAAACTTATTTATAGAAATTTAATGTTTGAAAAGGTATTACGTCAAATAAATAATTGTTATTTAGTAGGTTAATTTATCAGCACTTGCACTTATATAGTTTATGTATTAAAATACGTACCAGTAAAATGGTTTTTTTAGTGAATCGTGTAAAAATCATTTGACTAATATTTGACAATATCACGAAGTTACCAAGCGTAGCTGTTTATTTGGTTTACGCTGGACATATAATGAACTCGCCTAAGGGCCGGTTTTTTGATCCGTAGTTAACTCAACTATTGGTAAAAAATCCTTACTATTAGTTAAATATCAGCAAAATGCGTTTTTTGATCCGTGGTAAAGGTGATATCAGACGGTTCATTTTTTGTTCATTTTCACCTTTCATTCGGTACATTTCACTCGAAATGAAATGTCTGAACAAAAAATGAAACACGAGTGCCGAATGAATTAATTAGTGAACCGATCCAACAGTGTTGGATATTGGCATCCGGTATCTTTCATTCCCACTCCGAATGAACGAGAAATGAACGGTCTGAACACTGAGAGTAGAATGAACGTTCATTCGGATTCGGCCATTTTTTTTCGAGTCCTGTTACCTGTAGCCGACGGACATCACGTTGTCGACGAAGTTATAACTTATTTATTTCTGTGTGTTATTATATTGTTTTCATGCGGCAAAATGGTGTTCAAGTGAAACGATCAAAATACATTACTTTTTTTGGAGAACTTTAAAAATTATCAATCCATGGTCGCACCCACCACCGTCGACGTTTTCTTTGCTTCTTTTTTGTCAACTCTTTGATTAAATGATCACAAATTAAACTAATTCCAAGACGTACGACTTCATTCGATGACATATTTAAAAGAAAGAACAATGAATGTTCATTTCTGTATCATTTCGTCTAAGCCGTGTGAACATAGAATGAAAAAAAATGAAGCATTCACTCGAGTGAACAATCATTCGAGTGAACCGTCTGATATCACCTTAAAGGTGATATCAGACGGTTCATTTTTTGTTCATTTTCACCTTTCATTCGGTACATTTCACTCGAAATGAAATGTCTGAACAAAAAATGAAACACGAGTGCCGAATGAATTCATTAGTGAACCGATCCAACAGTGTTGGATAAGGTGATATCAGACGGTTCACTCGAATGATTGTTCACTCAGTGAATGCTTCATTTTTTTCATTCTATGTTCACACGGCTTAGACGAAATGATACAGAAATGAACATTCATTGTTCTTTCTTTTAAATATGTCATCGAATGAAGTCGTACGTCTTGGAATTAGTTTAATTTGTGATCATTTAATCAAAGAGTTGACAAAAAAAGAAGCAAAGAAAATGTCGACGGTGGTGGGTGCGACCATGGATTGAAAGAATAAATTTATTAGGAGCTTCCAATACATTGTTGAGAGAACTAGCCGTTGAAGATCCTGATTCATATTGTAATCATCTTCGAATGGATGAAAGTAAATTTGAAGAAAAGTTAAAAAAAGTTATAACTTCGTCGACAACGTGATGTCCGTCGGCTACAGGACTCGAAACAAAATGGCCGAATCCGAATGAACGTTCTCTCAGTGTTCAGACCGTTCATTTCTCGTTCATTCGGAGTGGGAATGAAAGATACCGGATATATATAATTAGAAACCTGGGATGATGTAGATTTTTGTCACTGTTACCCCCTATCGAAGGGAACAGTGCTCTGGATTGTTACTGAAATTGGGAATGATCTTAAACTGCCAATGAACAAGAGTATATATAGACAGCAGCTCATACCAACCTATTTTGCTTCATTACTAACTACAGTACCGCAGCAGTATATAATTAAGTATATTACTAATTCATTATGTGTTTTATTGCCTATAATATTAACTTATAATTATTATAATTAAATAAAATACAAGAACAAGAGTATATATAGACAGCAGTTCATACAAACCTATTTTGCTTCATTACTAGCTACAGAACCGCAGCAGTATATAATTAAGTATATTACTAATTCATTGTGTTTTATTGCCTATAATATTAACTTATAATTATTATAAGTGCTAATATATATATATAATATATAATGTAAGAGTTAATATTATTTATATATTACTAATAATATTAACTTATAATTATTTTAAGTACATACAAGTATGTACTTATACTAAAAACTACAGCTACACATTAGTTAGGGACCTATGATATTCTTTAGGGCTTTTATTACATTTGTGAGTTAGCATCTACCTACTTTATTACAAGAATTTATAAATAAAACATTTGACTTGATTAATAAACTGTTTAATTATAACTTAAATACAAACCATTTTTATTAAAAAAACATTACAAAATTTACATGAAACCCTAAAGTAGCAATTAAATATTTTCTAATTGTTTCTTCTTGCATTTCACCTCAATTTGATGCAACTCTTTTTGCTGCTACATATATTTATTGTGCCTTTCTTCCATCTGCTGCATCACTTTTTGGTGCACCTCCTCTTTATGCAGTATGAATTTTTGGTGGGCCTCTCATTGGTGCAGCAAATGTTTTTGATGCTCTTCCTTAGCATAATTGAACAAATCATCCTCTCTAATTTGTCTTTGTTTCAAAAACTCAATTTTTTTATCCGTGTGGATCATAATCCGCTTCCTTGTTTCCAAAAGGTTAAAAGATTTTTCCTTTTGTTGTAGGACACAGCTATACAAGAATAAATATAAAAATGTGCCTACACCTTCATTAAATGTATATTAAATTTAACACTTCGGTGTCTAGACCCATCTGAGTTGAAAACGTCACAGAGATTTCCAAGCTGCATCTTTTTGTAGATTGCTGCAGTGATCAGTTGTTTGCAGGTTACGACTGTGTAATCCTTGAGAAGCATCACCAGTTTGGCAGTTTCTTTTTTGGCGAAGTTAGCAGTATGGTCCCTTTAACAAAACATAAATGTATTACTTTCTATTACGAAACACAAGATAAACCGGAATAAATAACACGAAAATATGTTTGTACTTACTTATTTGACCGTTGGCTGTTTGCGGACATCGTTATTTATATATTTAAGTATCGTAAAAAGTGTAAACCGTATTAAATCACAGAAAAACAACTTTATTTATATCGTGTTATTTAGATTAATTTGACACTTCAAACTCTTCAAAGCGCAAATAACGAATGAAGATGGCAAAAATGGATTTCATTCACTCAATATGTCTAGTGTTGTCATACAAAATAAATGTTCCCCACAAAAAAGAACCACATTTTTTGGGATGTCATTGCGCATTGCACTGGCAACAAATTGACAAATTGTTAAGTTTAACTATAGTTAAAAAAGGCATTGAAAAACGCATTTACGATTTTACCAATGGTTATTCATTTAACTATAGTTAATGTAACAAATGGTAAAACCATTTTTTACTACGGATCAAAAAACTGGCCCTAAGATAGGTATTTAACATAATGACTGATCACATCAAAGTGTTTTAAAGTATAATGGCAAGTCAAGATATAATCATAAAAAAAGTGCGTGCATACAAAGTACACATGTCAGAAGTGAAACTTCTTTGGCAAACTAATTTTTAAATCTTGTTTATATGTATACAAATCTAAAACTTTGGGTTTCCGAAACTTAGAGGGAGGGAAAAAGGAAGATATGTTAGGAATTTAATGAATTTAATTGTCATTAAAATATTAAGTGTCGAAAATTAATACAAATAATAAATTTAATTTTTTAATATATATTCTTCGATAATATAAACACGTGGCATTTTAATTTACATTTCGTCATTTGAGATTTTAATAAATTATTTTGCATAAAATATAAAATTCTAATATTTCATAAATTCTCTCGAAATTTTAATTTAGGAGTAGATTTCTTATATAAAACTGGTTTATGTGATTATGTAACGAACGATTTGTAAATTTTAATAAAATTTTATAGCTTTGGGAGCTACAGCAGTCTACCCAATAGATCTTGTTAAGACCCGTATGCAGAACCAGCGCACGGGTTCCTTCATTGGGGAAGTGGCGTATCGTAACTCCTGGGATTGCTTCAAGAAGGTCATCAGGCACGAAGGTTTCTCTGGACTGTACCGAGGTCTAGTTCCTCAGCTGATCGGTGTCGCTCCAGAGAAAGCTATAAAGTTGACAGTGAGTAACGCAGTCTTCATAAAAATTAATGCTGTCCGTTTTCATAATACCGTATTCACGTCAGAAAAAGACTAATAAAACTAGATTACTAAAAAGGTTTATGTCAATATATCGAGTTATAATCTCACAAAACGTATAAAAATTATGCTAGCTGATTTGGTCTCGATTCTGCAGAGGCCTTACAGCCTGGCCACGGGACATTCGCCGACGCGAATATTCGCGCGGTGCGAACCGCGATGCGTCTAGCGACTGAAATAAACTCATAGCAATGTACTAATCAAGCCACGCGCAACGGCGACCAGCGATGCGACCGGCGAAATGTACCGAGCGAATCGCGCGGGCGACTGACGTCGCGACGGGCGAGCGAAACAAATGCATGAATCAGTACGGTGCAAGCCACGGAGTCGAGCGGCAGTCGCGGCGAATAGAGAAGGGAATAAATAAGTTTAGTCGTGGTCGCGGCGAAAAATGAATACAGAGTTTTTTGTTACTGAAATACTGGCTAGACTTGGAAGTCTGGCCATCCACAGCATTAATTTAATATACCTTAATCTCAAAAACAATTTTTCAGCGGAACTTAAAATTCTATTTGCATTAACATTTTTCTCCAATTCTGGTTGAATATTCATAAGAATATAATTGAAGGTTTCAATACTCATTCTGGTATACTCAAAAAAATAATTCTGGATATATTCTGAATTTCTCATACTTCTTGTGGAATTCTCCACAATTTCTCCAAATATTAGGTCTTGCACCAAAAGCTATTACTTTCCAAGCAATATCGAGATGATTTCGATAAAGACATTTCGCTGTCGAACTTCCTTACTGGTCGCGGCGGCAAACGTGACTGGTCCGTGGCCTGCAAACGGCCCCGCGCGAATGGTCGCCTCGCCTCCCGCATCGCCGTTCGCACCGCCGATCCCCGTGGCCAGGCCGTTACTTATATTGGCATGACTCTACGGTTCCAAAAACCAATGCAGACACAGCGCACGCATAAGCGTACTACCGGTATAAGCTACGGTTTTTTGAAACCAACAACAACTCACACCCACACTCTCAAATACAAAGTGTATTTATTATACGCACACACACCCATTCACATACCAATACATTCACGCATACTTAAGGTCTTACACGACGTTTGTTTGATTGATACTGACTACTTTTTTTTAATTGTTTCAACGTGCACCATGTAATAATTCTAATCTAGTTAGGGAGCGTTCGGGTATTACGAAACGAATTAGGGGGTTTTCTTTTTGTAAAACGTTACGATACGGGGCGGGGATTGAATACGCGTTATTGTTAATATTGTTTTAGACTTTTTTTAGTATACTTTACACCACATAATGGTAACTTTTAGGTACTAGTCACTAGGTGGTCACGAAACGTTTTACTATACTTGGGTACAGAAAAAGGTTACGGCACGTTACATGGGGGGGGTCAATAATCTCCAAAAAAGTTGCGTGACGTAATACTTGAACGCTCCCTATAATACGCGTAACGCTGAGTATTTCATTTTTAAATTTATCTTTAACTTTTGGCTACGTACGCTTATTACCAGATTTACTGCAATTTATCCCCCATCTCTTGTCAGCATAAGTAAGCAAAACTCTCAAAATAGTAAATAAACGTATTAATTATTTGTAGGAATCCTCGAAAATGCATTTCTTTTTCAAGCATAGACAATGTGTGGGTAATATGTGTACAAAAAGTAAATAACTACTGTTGACGTAATCACTAAATAAAAAAATCAAAGACCCCCCACTCCCCCTATAGTGCTTACATGGTACTTGAATGTCCCCCTAGTAAATTTAATTTTTTTTTCAGGTAAATGACTTAGTTCGAGACAAATTTATGGATAAGAATGGAAACCTAACATTGTACGCTGAAGTTATTGCCGGAGCTTGTGTAAGTTTATTTATTTCACACATTTTGCTATAAATAACTGATCATGCTCACGGATTTGTGTTTTAATTTCTAAATAAAACTACTTTAACTCAGAAAAAACACTTTTAGCGATTTTAGAAATATATGGTCATTATACGTGCTTTACATAGCAAATAGGTTTTTAAATCGTATCAACATGGTTGGAAAAGTTCCCTGAAGGAAATCTTAAAAAGGCAATTTCCCGTTCAGCTAAAGAAAATTGTTTTGGACACTTCAATCTTACCTCTCCTCACATGCAGATGCTAAACGTAGACATACTATACAAAAATAACTAAAACTAAATACAATAATAGAACCAAACTAGTAGCATGTCAGAAAGCAATGGGAAGATGCGTACCCTTACTAAGAAGAAGAAAAATACATAAAGTAAAAAGCGGCCAAAAACAAAAGTTATAGATGTCATGAAAGGGAAGGAAAAGGAGTTTAGGATAACAAAAAAATAAAAATAAATATAACAAATCTAAAAAACTAAACTGTATATTGTACATTTGTAAAGATTTTATATTATGTATTTTAATACTTTTTAGGCTGGTGGTTCACAAGTAGTGTTTACAAATCCATTAGAAATTGTAAAAATTCGTCTACAAGTAGCGGGTGAAATCGCCGGTGCCAGCAAAGTACGGGCTTGGAGTGTCGTCAAAGACCTCGGTCTTTTTGGCCTCTACAAGGGCGCTAAAGCCTGCCTGCTCCGTGATGTTCCCTTCAGCGCTATTTACTTCCCTGCGTATGCGCATTGCAAGGTATCGTTTTTATGTCAATATATCTGCTGTCTCTTCTCGTCTTAAATGATTAGATTTGAAAGTCAAAATTCATGTTTAGTGCAAAACCTCCCAAATTATACGTATATGTTGTATTTTTATAATACATATTCATTTCATATTGTTTAATTTCTGTTAAAAGAATTCATACAAGCCATTAATGTAAGTGCATTAAGTGCAGTATAACTTTGGTATATTTTGATTTAGGCTCATTTCGCTGATGAGAACGGCTACAACCATCCGTTGACGCTACTCGCGGCCGGAGCTCTTGCGGGCGTGCCCGCTGCCTCGCTCGTCACGCCCGCTGACGTCATCAAGACACGGCTACAGGTGAGAAATAATAATTATATCGTTATGAAGACGGGTAATAACTAATTTTCATTAACTGAAGTATTTTTAGATTTTTCTACAAATTGTATTTTCAGTAAAATTAAATTCCTCGATGATTAATTTAAAATAAACCCTTCAAGACATTAAACACTATCACTAGTAAGACTAGCCCGTACTGGTGTAATGTCTCAACATTTTATCAGTTTCAAATTAACCGCTTCGTTACGTAACGCGTTACGGCGCAAGTCTGTCTAGCTTGCCTTTCTCTAACCCGGTATATGACAGCGGTAGGCAGGTTCCTCTCTCACTCTATCTCGCAGTGCTAGCCGTATTTCGGACAGACGCTTTCCCCTCTGTCTACTCAGTGTATAGTGTGCGTTAGACATTAATGCCCGCCTTCCACTGCGAGCCGAACGGACCCATTACGGACTCCGCTATACTCGTAACGATGATTTTCATACATTTTTATTTCCGTGGGAAACTCGGTCAACTCGCTAACCTCATATGTGACTCTTTCAACTCGCTCTCTCCGCTTTGGTGGAAGCACATGTATGAAAATAATTACGAGTATAGCGGAGTCCGTAATGGGTCCGTTCCGCTCGCAGTGGAAGGCGTGCATAAAATGTTGAAAGTGAGCCTATAACTTCAAACTGTCACTGTTTTTGAAAGTGATTATAAAAAAAAATTAATGAAGCAGACGATGATCCTCGGAACATTACAGAATTAAATAGTTAAACTTAGATTAGTTTAAGTTATCACTTCTGCCAGCCTCCCGAGACGCACCCATTTCTTTTACAAATCTTGTATTTATGATGTGTCTGTTGTTTCCTTATTGAAAAATAAGCTGTCTATTACCACATTAAGAACAAAACTTACACTTTATAGTGTTCCGGCTCAATCTTATAAACAAAATATTTTTGTAGGTGGTAGCTCGTTCGGGCCAGACGACATATAGCGGAGTTATTGATGCAACAAGGAAAATATGGGCTGAAGAAGGTGCCAGAGCTTTCTGGAAGGGCGCAGTGGGTAAGTGTCAATATACAATTATTTTACACACACAATTTTGATTTACTTAAAATAAATAAAAATTTGGAGAGTGTTCAGAGGAGTTGTTCGGTCTAACACCTGCAGCTGAGTTTCATCATCGGACGTCAAGGCTAAATACAAAATACCATCCGTATCACCTCGATGTCCGCCGTTCCACAACTGAGCGTTTTTTAAGGCAGTTTTTGCCGCGCACCACCACTATGTGGAACCAGCTGCCCACTGAAGTATTTCCGAACCGACTTAGGGTCCTTCAAGAAAAGAGCGTACCAATTCTTGGAAGGCCGGCAACGCACTTGCGGGCCTTCTGGCAGTGTGAGTGTCTATGGCGGTATCACTTAACATCAGGTGAGCTCCTGCCCGTTTGCCTCCTATTACACAAAAAAAATCAGAATATAAAAACCAGAACAGAAATAATTTAAAACCATATGTTATTTTTACGCAAAAATATAGCACATAAATAAAATACGAGACAAAACTTTAGCTTTATTAAAAGATGGACACTGTGGCGTGACCCTTGACTATTAAACGAAATGCGGCCATCGTTAATTTATTTCCACCAACTTAATACACTTTATTATTATTTTTAAATTATTATTGTGTTAGTATAAGTTCAAATTAAGTTTTTTTTTTGTGGTCTAGTATATTTTTGTATGTCATGAGCAACATTCATCCAGTTTTCCCCGCTAGTTCTATTGTGTCATCTGTCCATCTTTTCTTCTGTCGTTGTATACATCTCTTTCCAGTACTTCCAGTCCATTTTGTTCTTTCTAGTGTCCATCATTCATCCCGCGATCTAGAAAATATATATAGTCCTATAAATTTTACTTGAACATATATATTCACCTCATTTAAAGGGTTGTCCCCACTTTAGATATTTGCTTTTCTTAGTTGGCTTAGTTGAGGTGGATTTCCAGTATTTTAAGTCGAATATATTTTTTCAGCGCGTGTGTTCCGTTCGTCGCCTCAGTTCGCCGTCACGTTGGTCACGTATGAAATATTACAGCGTCTCTTCTATGTGGACTTTGGTGGAAGGTAAGTTTTTTATTTACTATACTTTATAACTTTACACTAACCACAAAAGGACATCGTCCGAAACGATCGAGTAGTTCTTATACCAGACATACAATAATTCTAATTCAATTCTTTTGACGTCCGCTTGCATCAGTTTCTTCTTTCAGACCAATCCTGCGAGTGTTCGATGTAATTGTATATATTTATTATGTGAATAAATTTTTATTTTATAATAATTATCATACCTAACTAACGTTTAATGACGATAAATTTAATGTTAATATTTGAACCTACTTATATTTTATAAAAACAGTAAATAAATCATTCCTGAGAATGTTCACTCTACCCGCTTCAAATAAATATCTATTTAAAATTCTCGTGTCACAATGTTCGTTCCCATACTCCTCCGAAACGGCTCGACCGATTATTATGAAATTTTATATTCATATTCAGTAAGTCTGAGAATCGGCTACTATCTATCTTTCTAAGCCCTTTTTTTTTATAGTTAACAAATATTATATATACAACCCCTAATTTTCACCCCTCTACGATCAACCCCTATTTTTATTATAGTAGATAGTTATTTTTATTGGACTAAAAAAATGTTTCCTTGAAATACATGGCAAAAAAACATTTGCCGGGTCAGCTAGTATAAATATAAAACTTTAATCACACAAAAACGAACGTTTGAATCTGTTGTTAATACCTTATTATAATTTACAGTCGACCAGCCGGTTCTGAGCTAACAGTGGCCACTCCAGTGGAAGAAGCAAGGAAGAAGCCGCATCACATCGGAGGTTACCAAGTAGCGACGCCTATTCTCACCGGCCTAGAGACTAAGTTCGGAATCTCATTGCCGAGATTCTCCTTCCCCAAGGCGCAGTAAATTCAAATGAAGTATTCTTAGCAGTCGAAATACATTGGGTCTACCATGGCAAGTTCCAAAAATTTTTTTGGAACACGCATACCCCAGTTGGGTTTTAACCCCCTGAAACCCGACGGCGCCACCAACCCTAGTAAGGAAACGGTAACAGCGTCCCGGTAATCCCGCCCACGCGATCAGCAGTCGAAATCACTGCCCCCACGGCCATAAGGGAGCGTTCAAGTATTACGTAACGCAATTTTTGGAGATTATTGACCCCCCCCCATGTAACGCGCCGTAACGTTTTTCTGTACCCAATAGTAAAACATTTCGTGACCACCCAGTAAAAGTTATTTATGTGGTGTGAAGTACTGGAAAGTCGAAAATAATGTTAACAAAACGCTTAATTCAAACACGCCCCCCCATTCGTTACGTAACACTTGAACGCTTCCTAATGTGACAAAACCTCTGTCTCTGGCCTACAAGACAACACAACGTTCTAATATAAATGTTTTAACCGGTTTAAAAACGTTTAATAGTATAATAAAAAGCAGTCACTGCTTTTTATTCCTGGTATAACACAAATAATTGGGATTTATTGACTGGCGCTAAGTCACGGTAGACACTCTGGTATAACGAAATGTTTCCAAATCAAAATGAAAACTATTTAATATCTAAGTTGTTACTAATGCTAAAACATATTGTATATAAAGACAGTTTTGCCTACATTGTAATAATTTGATTTTGATACATTTCTATAATCCTTGGGGCAACATCAAGTCTTAACGACTAAATTAGAATGTTAGTAATCCTGGATGGAGGATATATTTTTCAAATAATTAACTTTCTTTCCAATTCAATCACTTTTCTATTCCCTTTGACAAGTTTCAATTTATAATTTTTCTTATATCCTTTTGACATTTTTTATTATTGTAAGTTTTCACGAATATCGGAACAAAAGTCGTGATTTTTAAAGAAAAATATATCCTTTTATCTTTACTTAATTTCGGAGTTATTCACTGCCTGTGCGTGTGTGCGTATTCATTAATTTAGCGAATTCTCGAATCGATTAGCACATTAATGAGAGAATTAATTGGTTTTCAAGCAATCGTAATCGTATAATTGGGAAAGTTAATGTATAATTGTATATATTTCCCAAAGTAGCTCGCAGCTATCAGAAACTATTTTTTATACATGGTACATATAGTACGATATATTTTATTTAAGCCCTAAAGGAGGCTAAATCGTGCAGTCCCAAATCATGCGCACCTCGCAGCATTTTGATATCCTAAACCGATATTTTTATATTTCATATATTATTTGCCATTTGTTATATTTCTTTTTAGCACTAAGAGTAATTCTTAAATCGACTATTTATTGTTTTTTTTATATTTGATGCCGTCACTGCTTAGATAGAAAATTATACGCAATACAAAATTTTTTTGAACGATTTTTTGTAGTTGCTTTGTGAAAGATTTACCATTCGTATATACAAGGGAATTTTTGAGGTGTATTCGTTTGCACAAAAGCACAAATTGTTTTCATGAAATTTGGGTTTATAAAAAATTAAACTATTTCACGATATTGTGCTTTAGTGTGACAATGAAATATCGAGTCTATATGGACAATATCAGAAGCGAATTTGGTTAAATGTGGTACAAAATTACCTAAAGCAGTATAAAGACGAGATTATTCTGTAGTAAGACTTATTTAATACTTATTAAATGTTATAGCTTGGGTGCATCCATAGATATGCAGTCGATCTGATATAGATAAGAAAAAAATATTTTATATACCCGCACTGAATTTTACAGAAATAATCCTGTCTTAGGTTTAAATTAAAGAATAGGAAAATAAATGGAAATGTTATTGCGTTGTGGGACGAATTCAAAATTAATTTGTTGGACATAAATGTAACAAGGCAACCTATTTTCCATAAAATCCACCTTAGTCGGGATCTTATACTATCATTTATTAGGAAGTTTATACTGAAGTAAGTAGATTCCAAATAATGCGTTATTCATAATACGTTCGAAAAAACGTTTACACGCTTGAAAATATGGCAATAATCTAAATAGTGTGACGTCATGTTACACTTTCAAGTTTCAATTAAATACCTACCATCTTAATACTCATATTCTAGCACTATTTGTTTAATACTACTAAATTCTGTACAGCAATTGAATCCTATGGATTATTTTATTCAATAAAATATTTAACATAAACAAAATGTATATTGAATATATTAATTGGTTAGCTAAAATGTAATTTTGAAATGTAATAGTTTGCTAGTATTAGAGTTAAGAACGCCATTTGAACTTTTAAAATAGTCTAATTACGGAGGCGTGGCTAGAATTTACATAGAGTTAAGAGTATGAGATACTCTTATAAAAAATTTCTTCACTATGGATGACCCGCAGTGCACAATTTCATTATTAAAATACATTATAAAATGTAAGCTAAAATGTTGTTAAACAACATTGTATAAAACATAGAATTAACGACAAGTGATAGAATCCGACGTGACTAGATACTATATTTATTGAAATTGTACATTTTTGTGTTAAAAATAAATCATGTCTGAATAATGTGTTTTTATTTTGTAAACCTGAAGAATGAAAGGACATCTAAAATGACGTTTGTGTCTTATAGGTTTTACAAATGTTATATAGAAGTATCGTTCAGAAATGAATGGTGATCTTAAGCAGCACAAACATATCAGTTTCCATATCTTTTATATAGTACTTCAGGAATACAAATTCTGGCCATACAGTGTATGTGTTATCACTGGATAAACATGGACTTCTGTAATTCATAAATTACTGAAGAAATGAAACTTAACGAGTTTTAGCAATTTATTTATTAAGGAATCAAAAATGTATTTTTAGTACATATGTCATTAATGAGTGTCAATCATGCAAATTTAAGAAAATCCACCAAAGTTTCAGGCTTGACATAACCTAAATATATAATATATATCATTGATTTTAATAAAATGGAAAAGTATTTAAAATGTTAGATTTCTATTAAAATTTACATATACATTTATCTCTCATTTTTCTAATACTATTAAATTGACCCAGTCTATCTATTGGTTCGAGTTCATTCTTATTAAAACCTATGAGTATTTGTTTAACCCTTAAAGCTGTGTTATGTCTATCAAGTACTATAAACCAAAGTGAGAAAATATATAGACAACCTATGTATAAACACAGAATATAGATAAAAATTACCCAGCTTTATGGATCCTACAAACATGATATCTTCTAATAGTTACTGTTCTATTATATAAGCACTTGGTGAATTTATAAAGTTAATGGCAGTACTTGTGTTAGTATTGATACTTACAGTAATTCTTCATTCAATTCATTTGTGTTTCAGTCTCAAAATTAAACTATTTAGCTAAAAAATAAAACAACTTTACTATAATATAATTCTTAAATTAATCAATGGTCACAAGTAAAAATAAATCATAATTAAAATAAACAATTGATGCGGAAACAAAATGAAGCTTTTGTAAAGTACTTTTCAAACAGCTGTAGTCTAATAATAATGAGCCAAAAATAATTTATCTAGTATTTTAGTGAGTGATGTTATTAAGCCCCTTGGCTTGCTCCTTGTATGCTAGACTTCTCCAAAATTAGTATGCATTGTCTCCTTAGCATGTTTCTGCGCTTCGACTTGCCCAGTTAGGAGCTTCTGACAAATCATACACTTTAAAGTGAATTTATTTAGGTCTGTAAACTGTCTTGAAGATTTGGCTTCTTTCGCAAGTTGTTCAGCTTCTTTGTAGATATCCATATCTTCAGCTGGAAATACAGTTTGAATTCCACCCTAAAAGCAAGTTAATATTTATACAAAGTTTTCTAATAAAAATATAATTTGTGCATACACATAGTATTATGTAGTATGTTGGTTTCAACAAAGAACATAACAAATTAGATAATGAAAATACAATGAATAAAATACATTTTATCAATTCCTATTTTTATCACAAGTCTGACCCAAGTTACAATACAGTTCATAAAAACACCTAAATGTATACAAACATGTTTATAAAGTTTTTCACAAAGACTATTAATTACCACTAACAATTTAAAATATTTAAATCAATAATCCCTTCTTAAAACCTAAATTATGATTACTTACATCTGATTGTTCTAAATACAATGGGTCATAGTGGACACCATCAAACAGTAGAAACACTCGTTGTCCATAATTCTTGTCCTCTCCAAATCTATTGATAATTGCATTTAAGGTGTCTACAACTGCCATTTCTATGCCATAAAATCTAGATAATATTGCTACCTGTAAATATATTTTTAATTTAATGTTAATGTACCTCTAAATAAAAATAGATTTTTTTGGAGCTTTGTATTAAATACATGACATGTGACACATAGAACTCTGCATGGGTCTTGAACTAAAACTTATATGTATAGTATAAGTAATTTTACATAATTTTTTGTATCAACAAAACTTACAACTTGAGTATCATCTGCTTCACTGCTCTCTAATATGGGAATAACATAATGCAAAATAAAATTATCTGCCATTACCTCAATAGCACCTCCCCAGGAGCTAGGCTGTTGGATCCAAGCACAATATTCAGCATTAGGTTTACCAAGCATAGCCTCATTATAAGTTTCTTGGTCACCAGCTACTTCCATTCCTATTATCTGGCGCATGAGGGTATGTACTGTTGTATCAACATTTCCATTCAATACAAATCCTACAACATCAATAATTGGTAATTACATTTGGTAGCTGAGTTACACTACTCCGAGAAAAATAATAATCTATGTCTTACTGGACAACTGAGAATTTAGAGTTTAGACGTCAATATGCAAAAGCTAACAGTATGAAATATATTAATATTAAGAAATATTTAATGGTTAATCACTATTTCTCATTTGAATTAAATGAAAAATAATCTTAAGCCTCAAATAAAAATATTGAATAAAAGGGTAGTTAAATTTCCATGACAAATAGTTTTAAATTATCGAAAAAAATAAGTAATGAATATTGTGATAGTTCTAACAAACAAAAGGTTACCTATACTAGTGAAGAGGCAAGAGTTATCTGAAGGAACTACTTTCTTCATTAGAATTCCGGGTCTACAAGGATCTTTCGGTTCATGTGGCGCTATTCCATTTTCAACTGGTTTTTTATTTATTGCTTGAGTCGAAGTTTCAGTAGCTGGCACAGATTTCTCCTCAATTATCAAGGTCTCGCCGGATTTTAAACCAATCTCACTTAACTTTTTCTCATCGTTACCAATATCTAGAGGTTTGGGCGGGTACCCTAATAAGACGCTTATTCTCTCACAACTTACATTCGTTACACTAGAAAGATACATTTTTAGTTCACCCACAGTACTTTCAGAGGTCAAGTCTTTTAATAACTGCTGACCGTTTTTACTTTTCACTCTAATAGCTAAGGATGCCATATTTTAAATATATGTATCACTAAGTTTTATAAAAAAAAATATTAAGAAAGTAATTTTATAAGAAAGAAGTATTCACAAAAGACTGGAAATAGGTAAATAAAATAATAACATTGCGTTACGTAGACATTTATTTTGACGTACGAGTAAATTTTGACAACGACAATTGGCAATTGGCATTCGCCAGAGCCTAGAAGCCTAGAACTCAGATCCAGAAGTTATTTGCAGCCAGCAGCTTTCAAGTGTCATCTTTTATGTAGTATGTATTAACAAGATAACGATTTTTGGTAGATTTCCTCTAATGCAACTTTAACTTTTTATTGGGTTGCAATCATTGATATACAAAAACCCAAGATGCACAGTCTCGAATAAAAGTAACGCTCGAAAGTGTCCCGAAACACTATTTCTGTCCATAACAGTATATGTTACAAGCATATATTATTGCAAAATCAACCTTACGCGAATTGCTTAAAGTTGTTATTACAACGCAGTGTATACGTACTTAAAGCAATAAAATTTTACGACCGACCGTGGTCGGTAGGACAAGGTATTGAGTGGAGTCGAACATGACTTTTTTATTTACAACTATTTAACATAATTTTAAATTTATCCGACTTTTCGGGTGCTTTACAGCGTGAGTGGTCACGGTGACTGAAGACAAAAGGTGTTGGATGTTAAATAGTTGTAAATTTATAATAATACATAACATTAATGCGGTTAAAAAGTTTTTTCTTTAAATTAAAAAAAATGTTAAATTGGCTACCTCCTGACCCACACTTTATATAGCGTAAATATATTTGTCAAAAACTACACACAAAAAAGTTCAAGAGTACATAAATTTATTTATAAAAAAAACACAAATAAATAACATCGACTCCACTTAGGGCCAGTTTTTTGATCCGTAGTAAAAAATGGTTTTACCATTTGTTACATTAACTATAGTTAAATGAATAACCATTGGTAAAATCGTAAATGCGTTTTTCAATGCCTTTTTTAACTATAGTTAAGCTTAACAATTTGTCAATTTGTTGCCAGTGCAATGAGCAATGACATCCCAAAAAATGTGGTTCTTTTTTGTGGGGAACATTTATTTTGTATGACAACACTTGACATATTGAGCGAATGAAATCCATTTTTGCCATCTTCATTCGTTATTTGCGCTTTGAAGAGTTTGAAGTGTCAAATTAATCTAAATAACACGATATAAATAAAGTTGTTTTTCTGTGATTTAATACGGTTTACACTTTTTACAATACTTAAATATATAAATAACGATGTCCGCAAACAGCCAACGGTCAAATAAGTAAGTACAAACATATTGTCGTGTTATTTATTCCGGTTTATCTTGTGTTTCGTAATAGAAAGTAATACATTTATGTTTTGTTAAAGGGACCATACTGCTAACTTCGCCAAAAAAGAAACTGCCAAACTGGTGATGCTTCTCAAGGATTACACAGTCGTAACCTGCAAACAACTGATCACTGCAGCAATCTACAAAAAGATGCAGCTTGGAAATCTCTGTGACGTTTTCAACTCAGATGGGTCTAGACACCGAAGTGTTAAACTTAATATACATTTAATGAAGGTGTAGGCACATTTTTATATTTATTCTTGTATAGCTGTGTCCTACAACAAAAGGAAAAAATCTTTTAACCCTTTGGAAACAAGGAAGCGGATTATGATCCACACGGATAAAAAAAATTGAGTTTTTGAAACAAAGACAAATAAGAGAGGATGATTTGTTCAATTATGCTAAGGAAGAGCATCAAAAACATTTGTTGCACCAATGAGAGGCCCACCAAAAATTCATACTGCATAAAGAGGAGGTGCACCAAAAAGTGATGCAGCAGATGGAAGAAAGGCACAATAAATATATGTAGCAGCAAAAAGAGTTGCATCAAATTGAGGTGAAATGCAAGAAGAAACAATTAGAAAATATTTAATTGCTACTTTAGGGTTTCATGTAAATTTTGTAATGTTTTTTTAATAAAAATGGTTTGTATTTAAGTTATAATTAAACAGTTTATTAATCAAGTCAAATGTTTTATTTATAAATTCTTGTAATAAAGTAGGTAGATGCTAACTCACAAATGTAATAAAAGCCGTAAAGAATATCATAGGTCCCTAACTAATGTGTAGCTGTAGTTTTTAGTATAAGTACATACTTGTATGTACTTATAATAATAAAAAGTTAATATTATTAGTAATATATAAATAATATTAACTCTAATTCATTATGTATTTTATTGCCTATAATATTAACTTATAATAATTATAAGTTAATATTATAGGCAATAAAACACAATGAATTGGTAATATACTTAATTATATACTGCTGCGGTTCTGTAGCTAGTAATGAAGCAAAATAGGTTTGTATGAGCTGCTGTCTATATATACTCTTGTTCTTGTATTTTATTTAATTATAATAATTATAAGTTAATATTATAGGCAATAAAACACATAATGAATTAGTAATATACTGCTGCGGTTCTGTAGCTAGTAATTAAGCAAAATAGGTTGGTATGAGCTGCTGTCTATATATACTCTTGTTCATTGGCAGTTTAAGATCATTCCCAATTTCAGTAACAATCCAGAGCACTGTTCCCTTCGATAGGGGGTAACAGTGACAAAAATCTACATCATTCTACATCCCAGGTTTCTAATGGCGGATGACATTGCCTAAATATTTTTGGTCACTCATTAACACATTCTCATATAATATTATCGTCTTCTTCATCGTCTCATTAATTAAAGTATCTCAATATGTTTAAATTCATCATTAGATAGTAATAAACGTATTTATCATAGTTTGATTTCTGTGACAAACAGCTGTTACTATATAAATTACCAGCGGCCATCTTTTTAACCCTCCGATACTGAGTAGTTAACTTTTTTGACAAATGGTTAGATATTTTACCATTGGATGCTCTTACCACGGATCAAAAAACGCATTTTGCTGATATTTAACTAATAGTAACGATTTTTTACCAATAGTTGAGTTAACTACGGATCAAAAAACCGGCCCTTATAGACGCGAGACTATTTGAAATGAGCGCACAATTTAGAATGTTGCGCTCATTTTTTGAGGACGTTTTTTAGACGTTGATTGTGCATCTTGGGTTTTTATATATCAATGGCTGCGCAATTCACCATATACACATAAATCAATCCTTGTACTGTTGACTTTTATACATCACACAGTCGAAGTATACATTTAAAACTATTATAAGTTTATGTCTAGGTTTGTGATTATAAAACTGTATAATCTCTATACAGAGTGGCCAAAAAGTCGTGGATCAAACGCAACTAGGGGATAGCTGATGAGTTCATCACCTGCAAAAAATTATTCTACGAGAGGTGCTTAAACTCAACCCCTGTAGAGTTATAATTTATTTTGCGTTTTTATAAGAAAATTGACTTTTTATACTATTCCTTGTTATAATTCGAAAAAATCTACATTCTGTATCTTTTTCATAATAACCACTAGATTGGTACTAATGAGTCCTTGCGTTAGACATGCAATAATTTATAGTTGTTTATTGAGTGTATTGAAGATAATATTAAGTTATGAAATATAAAAATTTCTCAAATCATATCTTTTTGTTTACTTCGGACCCCCTGTGAAAAAAAATACTCTACCGAAAAGTGAGCCTGTATTTATTACAAGTTTTGGCGCATGTAATAGGGATTGTGAAAAGGTGGCCATGAGTGGCTCTAGTCTGAGAATCGGCTTCTTACTATCTATCTTTCAAACCCCTAAGTGATAAGGGGTACTCGTACACCCCAAAATAAATATTATTATTTTTTAGATTTTTTTATGATACAGCATAAACAATACATACATCCCCTAACTTTCACCCCTCTACGATCAACTCCTATTTTTGATTATAGTAGATAGTTATTTTTATTAAACTAATAAAATGTTTCCTAGAAATAATATACATGGCAAAACAACGTTTGCCGGGTCAGCTAGTGTATTTGTAAAATTACTGATCATTTCTATATAGAATCTATAAATATATTTTTTAATGTAAGACGGCGAGACCCTGTCCAATAATTTTAAGACGTAAAACAACAACGTCCACAAACACCTGGATTTGTGGCAGTCGCAGAAAACTATAGATAAGAGAAGTTCTGAGGCGTTCCAACATACCTTCGTTAGTCTCCTTCATTATCGTCGGTGACGGTTTGTTACTGAAGTCTGAACGGCATCCGAGGAAAGAGCAGTAGCAGAGTGTAGACATTCTATTCTTACCAGTACCTTGCAGTAAGCTATATAGATTATAGTACATACTCAATGTTTTCAATATACATAGCTACGTGTCGGTCAATGTTTATTTATTTAATATATTATATAATCGTTTACTCAGATCAACGTCTAAAGATGTGGATTAAAAATTAAAATAAAACGACATTATATGGGTATTACATTAATTTTATTTAAAAAATTATAACATTCTACGTATTTGTATTATTTTTACATAAAATACCTACATACTAGGTCTTAATAAGTAACTTTTGGCACTGTAAACAGTTAGATATATGAAAAAACCGATAAATATTTCATTTATAATAGCAGTAGGCTAACTTCAATAGCAAAGCATTTATATTATGCTTTCCGATTACAACTTCAAAACTGAGATTTCCGATTATCGTCGATACGTATCTACTATCTATTGAAGTTGACTGGATTGTTTCAATCATTGGAAATTCGTATCGGTTTTGCAAAATAGCCCTGCAAGGTTTTTTAGTACATCCGATCTACCTAGCTAAAATACTACGAATCAAATTTGACAGTGGAAAGATGATATAAAAATGGTTTGAATTGACCTCTCTGAAATTGTATTATTGAACACTTATAGAAACGTCCTATTTTCTACGTATTATAATTTATCCTATACATTTATCCTATATATTGTCGCATTATTATAATTCTAAATTGTGCTTAGATCAACATCTATTCGAATATTTTGGTCTACTGAAACATGATTAACATATATTATTGAAGTGAAACTTCTTTATCGAGGTTGGAAAAAAATTTAGTGTAACATTTTTTCGTTACGCGTCACATTTTTCGGTTACGCGCCATGTTGCTTTTTGAAGTCAAACTTCTTTATCGGCGTTGGAATGAAACTTCTTTATCGACGTATGGGAGAAATTTTGTAGCATATCGTCACGGTTTTCAATGATAGTAATAATTCTATTACAATCAATGAAATTCTATAATAATCTTCGTAGTAATAAGGTAAAATGAAATATTTGTATTCATGTCTATGATAATAAAAGCCTTTTGTTAAACTTTATCTCATTTAACGAATTTCTATAAAGTTGCATATAGTAGATCATTTTTCGAAAAATAAGATCATAAAGAAGTTTCACTTCTTACGTGTGTACACCTAGTACACGCACAATTTATTATTAATTATATTATACATGATACTTCATATCAGATTACGAAAAAGTTTATTTGATATAATCAATTTAACAATAATAATTCAACGGGTCGTTCGTTAAAAATAACAAAATTCGTAACGCAATACAGTGTAACGAAATCTAGACTTGGCAAATTAACTAACATTGAACTAACAATTGCAGAATTATCTATGAAACCATTATTAATAATTCTGACTTTGTTAAAAATAAATTTTGTAATAGATCATTCTGCAATTTTTAGAGAAATTTAGGAATGCAATTAAAAATGTACAAAAGTATGATAACGACTAGGAAAATGGCGAAAATGGCATAATAGAAAGGAATTTTTAATTATATTTTCTTGGTTATATAGCATCTAAAAAATGAGGTTGAAAAGGTAATAAAAACATATTTTTTTATATGAATTTACACTTAAATTTTAGGCTAAAAATACTGAAACAAAACAAAACCTACGCGTGTGATTCCGATACGTCGAAAAAATCAGCTGATTTAAATAAAATTGGACACGTGAAGAAGATATTATTATTCCAATAAAATTTCATATTATAATAGTATTACGTTAAACACGAACTTTACGCTAGTTATATTAAATATGCTTCTTCTGACATACAATTTCTTAGTTCCAAACAGTAGTCCATACAACAAAGTATTATTATTAGTTTAACTTAATTTTTTGCGTTTCTGTCAACCTCACGGTGCTACCAATACCATAAAATATATTAAAATGTCAATATAAATAATAAGTTACAAATAAGTACAACTTATAATATTAAAAGTATTACAATGAAGTATTTATTGTACAAAAATTGCGTAGAAATTATTCTTTGGTACGAATATCCATCTTAAACTATTATAACATAAAAATATTGTCTCATGACTAAATGATTTTCTATGAGTATTTTAACCAATAGGCAGTTCTAGTTATCTTATGTACATTAAAATGCAGTCAAATGGAAAAGTTAACTAATTAATAAATAGTTAAGTAAAATAAACATTTGAAAATGCAGTCTTAAAACTAAAATTCGAAAACAGAACACACGTGGTATGTTGAACACACCTGTTGTGAAAATTATAAAATTACGGATCAGGATCTTTTATTAAATTTTCTATGATGGTTTATCGAAAATAACGGTGTAATTCAGGTACGACTTTTATGCCCGATATTTAGTAATAATTAGGTGAAATTGAATTGCTTGTATTACTGCTGTAAAGAAATATTCAGAAATTCTGAAAAACTTTTGAATGAAATTAGTGATAATTTTAAGACAAAAAAAAGTTTTAGGATTAAAACGCGAATATACCGTTACAAAATTATTTTTGAAACTAATAAAACTGCCTAAAAATCCCATCTTTATGACACTTCTACATTTTGCTGATTAGCGAATTAACACTTGATTGAATACTTACAACGCCCAGGAAACACGAACAGGATGGCGAGGGATCGATAACGAGCAAGAGACAAATTAAAACGACCAAATGGTAAAATAGACAAGAAGTGAGAAACTAAGGAACAATGCCAAGTGTCTGAAGTGATTAGTAAACGCGTTTTAATCCGGTAAAATGAAAATGACTCACTCCGAGCAGTAATATTGGCCTAATACGGTCCATGAACGGACACAGATTTCGTACGTTTTGTGTTCCTATGGGGTCGCCTGTGTCTAGGATGACGTAATGGCCACCGTCACGTAGGCCGTCTAACATATCTCGTCGACCCTCGTAGACCCCTCCCCACCACGAGGGGAGGCATCTGCTCATCCTCTTCCTCATCATCCTCCCCACCTTCGGAGCTGTCCTCCCCACTCCATACATCTGGCTTCACGGCTTGGTACGACGCGGAAAAGCCTTTGAATACGATGGAATCGTCCGTACGGAATTTCACAAGTAATGCTTCTGTTGTTGATACAATTTCTGGAGGCATCTGTTCATGAATTAATACATTTCATTAAAACTCATTTATTTAACAATTTTTTCTATTTTGGATTGAAAAACCATGAGCGATTTTTATAATTTTAAATTTAAAAAACCAAATTTAACCATTCCCATCTGTACGGTGAAAGAAAACATCATGATGCCAGCAAACCTTAGACCCAAAGGGTCGACGGCGTGTGTCAGGCACAGAAGGCTGATCTCACCTATCTTTCTACTTGCCTATCATATTAAAAAAAAACAAATCACGATACAGATATCTTCGTTGTTAACTCACCTTAGTTCCACAATAATTTCCATACGGCCCAACGCTTCCTTCTAATCCTCCTAAGATTTGGACAAAGTCATAACCGCAGTTGGCCTCTGGTTCCAACTCGAATGTGAGGAATGTGAGTCTAACGAATTGGCCAACTGGTGCCACAATACTCCAATCGCAGTTGGCATGGGACTCATATGAATCGTGTCCATATCGAGCGTGGGAATATAAGTGTTTTACTGTGTCAGTTGCGCTTAGGTAGCCGCCACATGCTGAAAAGAACGAGTGATATTTTTTAACCTGCATAACCGCCTATTAAATATCGAGTTTGCAGTCCACATAATTCCGTGTTAAACATCAATATTGGCATTGTTAACTTATTGACGTGACAACGTCTTATAATTCGATGGAGCCGGCTGCACGCACGAAAAAACATGACGCATGCGGCGTTACCTTGCTCTTGACGCATGCGGCGTTACCTCGCTCTGAGGCGTTCCATTTAAGGCTTGAAGAGCAAGCGAGATCGCGGAACGAGCGACAAAGAGGCACGATGGCCTCCTGCACCATCGGCGTTCGGCAGCGTTCGTTCGTTAAAAAATTTACATAATTGTATTTACAACAAACAAATGTAACTTGATCAATTCAATTGTGATTTCCATTTACCTACCTTTCTATACAAAATATCTATCAAACAAATAAACTTAAAATTTTCTTTGGAAAAATGCAACCATTCCATCAGTATTTTTATATGACGTTGTCACGTTCAACTATCGTCAGTAAACCGACTTAACAGACAATCGATTTTTTCAATTGAGTCAATTATTGTTATCGCTATTGAATACGTGGTAAGCTGCTAGTAATTTTGATGTAAGAGATAAAATATCAATGAATTTTTTTTGAATTAAATAAATTTATTAAAGTTCTCCTCTCATTGTTAGAGCGTTTATGTATGTGTGGTTCATATAAAACGAGGTTAAATAATTACCAGTGGAGTAAGTAGCGAAGAAACCCTTCCTCTGTACGGAGGCATCAGACTTGAACACCACATACATGAGGTTCTGTGAAGCGACTACAGGGTGTGGCAACTTGCTGCCACAGAATCGACCCAACGTCTTCTCATCAGCTGATGCACCGTCGTAAATTGTCACATGGTCGTATGTGCATTCCTGGTAATAAAACGTGTGTATTGGTACGGACAGCAACGATATTTACAGCGAATTCAACAAAATAATCTTTCAAAGAAACTGATAACGCTACGATGTTAGTCCGTGAACGGTTAAAATGTGATACGGTGCAATGGTTATATCCTAAATACCAGTTAAATATATACATAAAATTAAATACATACATAGTTAAATAGCATTTATTAATGTTGTTATTTTAACCATTTTTTTTTTCAATAAATTTCAGCTATAGTCCCACCTACTTATCTGTGATAATGATGACTGATTAAAGTATAGTTAGACTATATAGAGATAGTACTGAAGTATATTTGCTACACACAGCGAATAAAATTTATATTAAAGCCACCTTATCAAACTACTATCTATCATCTGTGACTGACCTGATGTGGCTCCAATTCAAATACATTGAATATCAATTTGATCCGATGTCCCGGTGTCGTGGAGAATTGCCACACGCAGTCTTTACGGGACGGATACGAATCGGGATAGTTTGGACTGCCAAGATTAAAAATTTGAAGTTTTTAAAGTATGTTTACTATCGCTTGTACGGTGAAGGACATCATTAGGAAACTGAACATGCCTTATACCCAAAAAGTCAACGGCTGATGTGTTAGGCTAATTACCTACTTATAAGAAAAAACAAAAGGTACAGAAATTTGATGCCCAGACTTTTAAAGCCACTAGTATTTTTAAAGGTTAAAAGTAGATTTATTTATTAGAAATAATAGTATATGTAAATATGAGACCCAAAGATTTTGAAAGTATAACGCACAGAAGAAAGAGTTTTAATATCTTGGGGGATTAACTTTTAAATTTGTTTAATTTTACTAATTCTCTTAATGCTGAATAAAAACAAAATAACGTTTTAAAAACCTTTGATCTTTGTCTAAAATTCCTGAGTTGGTTTCCTAATCACTTTTTTCAAGGAAATGGTATTTTACATTCATTCCTTCTGTGCACTTCATGGTTCCTCACCTGAAAATAGTCCCATGTGGATGCGTTATATCATGCTTACACCCGCCCTCTTTGCAATCGTGTTTATTGGGGTGTAACGTGAAGCCACTATGACAAGCGCACTCGTAACCTCCCAGCGTGTTGTGACACTCGTGCTGACATCCGCCATTATTATCCGAGCATTCGTCTACGTCTATGTAATACGCTGCTGCGAAACCTGAGTGATGGACTGATGTGTCTGATGTAAACTGAAATCGATTTTTATGGTTGGAACATAGCTAGCTGGTAATTAAAGTTCTGAGCTATTAAGCTTTTTAAAATGGTTGAAGTAAGTATAATTAATAAAAATAATTTATTTTCAGTCGCATGTAAATTTTAGGATGTCAATGACGCGAATGACGAAATTTAAGAAAAAAATTGTAATATTGCGGAATTTTTAACTATTGTGTCTTAATACACAATGTAATCCATTTTATGTTATGACTTTATCTTTAGGTTCAACAAATTTGTACAATTTGTGTATAATAATGTTTTGAATTACTAACACAAAATCGTTTAATTGTAGTTTTATTTTAAAAAAAATTTTTTAACATAGTTTATATACAGTATTTACAATTTTCGTAACCTAAAAAGTAATAATAACAATTATTAAAAAGGAAATCATAACAAATTAAAAAAAAAAAAATTAACAAATTTTATTACTAACACTAAAATGGTGGTTTCCAAGGTTTACAAACTCACCTGAACACGCAAAACCGAGCCATCTGAGGTGACGGGAGGTGGTAAAATGGAGCCACAAAACGCACCATGTCGCCGCAAAACATCGGCACCCAAACGCGAGTGGACTGTTACACTGTCATATTCACATTCCTAAAAAAATCGCTCTTATGTAAATACTGAACTCCAGTGTCGAAAGTCCAATTAATGAAATAATTGTTGTTAGTAATTTTATTTGTTTTTTAAGCCTACAAAAGAGGAACCAATCAAGAAGCTTTTACTTTTCATAAAATGTATCTTTTATTACCGTGGCAAGTTATTTGATTCGTATATATTTACAAAAAACTAGACCTAGTTCTTGACACCCAGATTAATGAGCTAACGAGCTGCCCACGACATCAAAATTGCGATCTTCCTTCTAATTCATCGTGACCTTCATTCGGAAATGTAGTACTCATTGCGTGGAATGTCAAGGAAATATTGGGTCAATACAATGTAATATTTTAAAAATATAATATGAAATTATTTAATTTGCATATCATGACATTTTCAAGTAATAATGTTTACCGGATACAAACGCGAATTTATTGAATTATTTTTTTAGTTTTAACTGCTTGACAGCTTGACTCCTCCTGAAAGTTATCTCTATGTATGTAAGTATGACTCCCTTATGTCAAAAATGTATTGGTTTGTCATATAGTTCGCGATAAGTCTTACCATTCACCATAAGATTTTTGAAACGTGTTGTACTTGTGTATTTCCGGTTTACTATGCAAATAATATTTATTAATTGATTTATATTATTACTAACAGTTAGCGAACATATATTGCACTTTATTGCAATAAACATATTTTTTACTCGTAGTAGTAACGATGTGTTTTTGTTTGAAAATAACTAGTTTATTGATTGAAAATAATTAGAATAACAATTACGGACGCTCTTATACATAATTAAAAAAGTTTAAAGTGAACTATTTATTTTAATAGTCCATAAATATTATGAACTATATGTTTTCGTTTTGAGAACGACTTTAAGGTTTTTACTGTAGGGAATGGAATGGTTTAACCACCGATAATGACGGACGGCTACTCGTATATGTAGGTACGCACCGCATGCGTACCGCAAGTATAAAGTGTGATTGATATACCTAATAGATTTTACATATAAAATTAAAACGATAAAGACTATACCATTTCATTTCTTGAACTTAACATCCTCGGAATTTTTAGAATATCAATTCTAATTCAATTTCCATAATTTTAACAAAACTATTTGAGTTGTGGGTAGAAAAGGTGTATAATATTGTAACAAGTGAACCTATTTAAAAAAGTAATGGGAAAATTTATCTGTATTACCTGGTGATACATATTATTGCTGCCTTCCAAGTCGAAGTGTGTGAAATTTAATGTTATCCGATGCTGTGGAGGCGCCACGATCTCCCATAAACAATTCTTAGATGGAGGGTACAGATCGGGAAATGACGGCGAAGTTATTGTTCCATTTGGAGCGTATAGTACTCCACCACATGCGTCTGTAATACGATTTATAAAGACTTTAATTTTCAGCCCTACTCGAAATGAACGAGCTCTCATGATCTTCAGTTAACTATGCTAACCATAAAACTTAGTATTTTTATTTCTTTGGTTTTTTAAAACACTGAGAAAGGACACACTAAGTCCGTAGGCGCACACTCACTTGCCAGAAGGCAAAAACCAATGGCGATTAACTGTTTGATGATAATTATTTTCCTTAATAGGGAAGTAGTTGATCAGTCTTCTGCCTGACAGACGTCGTCAATTTTTAAGTCTATGGCACTTTCCTCACGATGTTTTTCGTACGAGTGTTATTTGCGCACATAGAAATATAGGTCATCTACGGTTTATCCCTAAATACTAACGAGTGTAGTATCACTCGCTAGTATACTATGATGGAACGGATATCCGACACGACCAAATTATTGCAAAATCCTATGCGCTGGATGTTCTTTTTAACTTAGGCCATTTTAAATATGCAAATAAAAAATAAATCAGTGGTCCTACAACCTCTTTAGGTCTGAGCTTCAGAACTGAATCTGTTTCATGATCATTTTTTTCAATATAATAGGCAAGTAGGTGCCTCCTGTGCCTGACACACGCAGCCGACTTTTTGGGTCTAAGACATGGAAACCTCACGGTGTTTTCCTTCACCGTTCGAGCGAATGTTAAATGCGTACATAGAAAGTCCATTGATGCACAGTCGGGAATCGAACCTACGACCTCAGGGATGAGAGTCGCACGCTGAAGCCACTAGGCCAACACTGCTCTAAATATAGCGTTCTTAAATTTTCGGCCCGAGATATCACTTGCAGTTGAACATGCGAATTATAAGACAGAAATAAGCAGTGTAACACCTTTTTATCCCCCCTTCGTAATGACTAATTAAATAAACAATTAAAAAAATATAATATTAACTTACTCTCACACTTCTTGCCATCCGAATGCAGTTCATATCCAATATCACAAGCGCACTCATACCCACCGAGAGTGTTAACACAAGAATGGCTGCAGCCGTGGTCTATGGAAGCGCATTCGTCGAACTCTTTCATAAACGTCGCAGAAAAACCCGCTTTTTGTACTGAACTGTCTGATTCGAAAATTACTAAAAGTTTGTTTGATGTTGACCTGTGTGAAAATATGATCTTATACTCTAAAATTATTTATTAAAAAGTCTCAAAAATAATTATAAAATTGAGATTTAAAATTGTTGCAATTTAAAAAGTAAGGAATTTTTATGACTAATGGCAAACACAAATTGAAACTGCAAAATAAAATACCACTTAATTCATGCACTCAAAATTATTACTTCCAAATATCCGTCCGTGTAAAAAAAATCTACTATGCAATGCGCCAACATATTTTTTTTATGACATCAAAACTAATATGCATTAACTCCGAATTCAAAAGTGGTGGTTTTTATTAGTGTCTTTTAATATTTTTTAAAATTAAATTTCTGTGTTTGACCTCTTCCACTAATATCACTCGATTTTGGCTTGAAGTTAATTTATTGGATACCCTATCACTTGGATACATATTAAGTAAAATGTTACCTGATATCTGGCGGTATTTTGTGCCCACAAAACATGCCAATAAGTGGACTATCCATGGAGTCACCATCTCGCACTTTCACTTTGTCGTAGTTACATGTGTCATGGTTCTCCACTTCAAACGAATGGAAACGAAGAGCTACTTGATAGTCCTGTTAAATATTTTTATCATTTATCGAAACAGTATAAAAAAATTATATAAGTCAAGGTACAAATTACATATTTTATCCTCAATGTTAATAAATTTTTTTGGAGGTATCCAAAGCTACATTATATGTTTACAAATTATCTCTAATAACCACTCTTATTAAATATAGCCTCATTTTAATTTAACCTATATAATTATTATGTGCACGAGTAACAAATATTTGTTTAAATATTATTTACATAAAATTACCTGTGGAACAGTGAGTCGCCAAACACATAGCTTATTCGGTTGATAGTCATCCGGATAATTCGGTGACTCCAAATGACCGCTGCTGTCGACGTCTATGTCTCCTCCGCATACCGCTAGTAAGAAACCAGCATTAAAAAATATATATAGACTATAATATAACCAAAAAGTTATTTCATATTACAAATTCATGAACGAAAAATATGTATTAAAGACGGAATTTATAATGGATCGATTTCGACTTTAAAGAAACAAAATTGTGTCAATAGTTATCAAATTCTTCGACAATCTAAATCTATTTGAAAAAGTTGTTTATAATAGAACATCGCAAATTATGTAAAAACAAAGTTTTTATAAAGTCCCGTAATACCCCAATGGGGATGAGCACACACTATTCTGTGTCTGTTTCGTTGTTTATTTAATTACAGGTTCGGGTATTTATATATATTTAAATTGGTTTAATCTACGTACTACGTTTATTAGCGCTAAGCGAAGACATGTTAAAGACTTTTAAAGAAAAAAAACAACGAAAACTCACAAAAATTACTAATCTATGTAATGATTTTAGTTTCGTCGCCGTAAATATAAAAAGAAGCGTAAATACGTAAAACAGGGGTAAATGTCGACACTACCTCTTTGCCGGTTTCTTGAAGATATTACAACATATTCCACCGTTCATTAATTAATTTATAAATAACAGAAGGATAAAAAAGCAAATAAATCAAAAGATCATTTGTTTTTAATTGTCAGTAATGATGTAATAATGATATGCAGATGATATAAAAATCTCGCAACAATTGCTAATAATACATTAGCATGCTAGATATTAATTAATCCTGTTACGGTAAAGTATATTTATAAAAAAATATACGAAAAAAATTAAGCTATAAATGTCAACAATCTTAGTAAATTAATTTCATTTAAATAATCCTCTGAGCAAAAGAATAATGTTCACTAAGTGTTCATTTAAAACAGGCAAAGTATGCGGAAGGGTTCATTGAATTATGGACACATTGGATCTCGAACCGGAAGGATTTGGGTTCGTTCTGATTTATTGAACTCAGAGCCATATCAACGCTCGAGTCTTATCACGAGTTATTTTAACGTGAGGTTGTAAAATGAATTTAATGAAAACCATCAGACGATTCTTAACATCTTACTATGTGCGCATTTGATATAATAGTGGTATTTCTTCATAAGGCGAGTATGTGATCAGTTTCATACTTAAAGAAAAAACTTTTTAACCGGATTAAAGTTATGTATTATTATAAATTTACAATTATTTAACATAATTTTAAATTTATCCGACGTTTCGCGTGTTTTACAGCGTGCGTGGTCACGGTGCTTTTTCTTTAAATGTGTAAAGGTTATGTTAATCAAAGACAATACTAGTTTCATACTTATTTCGTTTCACGAGTTAAGGTCGCACACAGAAATCTAATACTCGACTCTAGTGTTGAGAATAAACTACATTTAAAACTATTCTAAGACTACTTCTATTGTTCAAAATACTTGTAAAAAAGCCATCGTCTCACAGATATAACAAGGTTCATTTTACTATAATAATAATAATAATAATAAAAGCCTTTATTGCTGTAATTACTTATAAATATAAAAATTAACACTATAAGTAAAAATAAATACTAATAATTAATCGGCAAGCCGGTTCATTTCTGTTATACAGCTTATCCTTGGACATAGGCCACTCTTCTCTACTCTTTTTACTATATTTAAATACCTTCATAATAAGCTCTGAATCCACGATTCGGTTTAGATCGCGGTCCAGGTTGATAAACGACGGTTAGTCTTGATCCCGTGGACCACAGCACTGGTCCCTTCCCGGAGCCACAAATCCGGCCCAAAACGGGCGCATCAGGCATATACCCGTCAAGCACATCAACCCATTCTGAACGGCATCCATCTGTTTTGTGGATATCGATTTCTGGAAATGGTAAAAGTATTATACAGCTATTTGAAGAAATATGTAATACACATAACTAAGGTATATGTAAGGTAAGGTATATGTCAAATGAAAATAAATATTAATCACTAGCTGGTGCCCGCGACTTCATCTGCGCAGGATTAAAATAATATTTGTCCAAATGATGTAGCGTGAAATATATTTTATCTACTTTAAATACCAGAAGCGATAAAAGTAACGTTTTTCATTTAGAAATCTATTTATTACTACCAAATGTGCATTTGAAATAAATTATCAAATTTTATGGTAGTAATGGTTCACTATTTTTGGTAATAATGGCTTACACTAAGACATAGATAATTGGCGGGCTTTTTTGTAGGACTATTTAAGACAAACATTTCCATCATACTTATACATTACATATGTGTAACTTTAACCGTTTTGGCAGCGCACGCCAGAATAGCTCTCAAATGGTAGATTTTTTCTTACTTACTTGGTATTTTGGACAATTCACACAATATCTTTATAAATTGTAGCCGATGTGTGATTCTGAGCTATATTATTGTAAAGTTTCATTAAAATCCATTATGTAGTTTTTACGTGAAAGAGTAACATACATCCATCCATACTTACAAACTTTCGCGTTTATAATATCAGTAGGATAATAATAAAATATATAATTATTATAATTGTAAAAAAAAATAGAAACTATCATCAAAGGCAGTAGTAATCTAAGTTACAAAAGAAGGAATATATTTATTATTTAAACGACATTTATTTATTAACTTAAGCAGAATGCCCACAGGACCTGCTATAAAGTATAAGTACAAGAAAAAGATTTATAGAAAAGTGTTAATACGGACAATCGACATTTTTAGTTTGTGAATTATATTGTAAATAAATATTGGACCATAATGTGTTTAAACCTAGCTCCTACGTTTTCGGTCTACAAGAGCTACGGAATTTCGAATATAATATGGAAGCCACTGTGTAGGAACAATGTAAGGGAAGAATTTATTAAAAATTTCAGGCACCAAACGCCTGTTAAGTAATTCGGTTTTATTTGTTTACGCTGCATTCATTATTACTTTTAAATGTAACACTAAAGTAAAATAAACAATTTTTACATTTGAATCATTTTGTCATTCAAGACAACAACCTATATAACGGGGGACTTAATTAATGAGGTCGATTTTAAGTGCCCATTAAAAGATATGTGATAATCCTGTATTTTTATGATCAAATAGGTAAAGTTATTATTAATTCCGAAAAATATACATTATTTATAAAAAAATTCAATTATTTCAAAAGTATTTGTTACCTTTTAGCTAATTTAAAAACGAAATGTGTTTTTGGAGAAAACACATTTCGTCTTCTTTCTTTACTTATACATAGAAGTTAAAGAAATGGGTCATAAAAAGTCATTTAAAAAAGGCAATGCAAACATCGTTTGAAACAGCAAACAGCAAATCGATCCTCAAGTGTATGAGCTATGGAAAATATCAATATTACAAACCTCCTCCTTTGTAGTCGGTGAAACGTAAATAATAAAATAGTAGCGATAAAAATCTAAAGCTTAAAGCTCTCCGTTATTTAATAATTCCATTTTCAAATGCGATTCCAATATATTGTGTCAATGAAAAATTTGTGTTATGAAAAAGCTTCACCAGTTATCTGATTGACACATAACTCAATTTAGAACACAATAAATCTCTTTCCGAGCAGATTCACATTACATAACTCCATGAAGGCTGTCTCATTGTATTACGCCTACAATAAATGTTTGTCGTAGTATTCAATAAACGAGCTGGGTTATTCGATCAATGATGTCGGAAGTCAATAAAGATTTACTTATTTCTATTTAGAATGTTTTGTTTTTAAGCAAAGATAAGAAATCCCATTTCAAAATCTATGAAGTAAAAAAAATTGTACGCTTATTACTGGCCATGTGGCCATGCATGTGCTCGTTTCATCCTTATATATCTATTTTATGAATTGAATTCTACATTATTTTATATACATGTATACGGCTTTGTTAAGCACTGTATCTGTCATATATATAGTACTTAGTACTTAGCTAAATAAAACTATAAAAATAATAATTAATCGTAAGATTTAAGACACTATTTTAACAAAAGCTAAAGCTATCATCACGGCGTAGAGAAAGTGACAGAAAGAAACATTTTGATTGATATAATTCAAGATCGATTTAATTATTATAAATATTTACTTTTTAATTTTACTATTTTAGCCTTACATGTGTTGGCGTGCGATTTTATTTATTTTTTATGTAGCCTGATGTTAAGTTATATGGAAATCAGAGGATCCTAGACACTCACATTGCCAGAGAGCTCGCAAGTGCGTAGCCGGCCTTTGCACATATAGACAGAAAGTCCTTTGAGCACCAACGGACTTTCTGTCTCATCATCAATCATCGTGAGGAAACAGCATGTCTTAAACCCATAAAGGATTGTAGCGCCACTAGATTATTATTATCGGTACCTTATTGGTTATTGAGAATATAAATTCAAGCAATAACCATATTATGTTATTAATATAAGTGGAAGCAAAACATTATATTTAGATCAATCAAAATATAAACGTATTCAATTTCCGCTCCATTTTAATCAATTAAAATTTAATTTCGCTACGTATATGTTTTGAATTTACGCTTATAAACATAATACTAATAAATTGGTTTTTCATTTCAGTATTTCAATATTTCATTTTTATCAATATCATCGGATTATAGTAAATAATTTGTACTACATGACTGACGATATTGCACGATAAGTTGATGTTCATCATCTTCAGTCGCGCTTTTTATTTCTGATTCAGGTTGTGCTAGTATCGTCGCAGAACTTTCTCCACTCCTTCCCGTCTTTCGCAAACCTCAGCGCCTAAGGGTCTTGTTCGGTCCATTGAGTAGGGGGTCTCTAGGTTTAGTAATCTCCACTTTACAATCATACTCATTCTAATTATATAAACTATTTGCGTTAACTTTAAACAGTACCGAAAATGTTTACATGGCCGAAGTAAGCTTACAGCACAGTTAAAAACAAAAGCCCTGGTATAATCTTAATATATATATTTCTTCTGTGCGTGTGTATGTGACTGAACTCCTCTCAAACGACTGGACCGATTTTGATGAAATTTTTTGTGTGTGTTCAAGGGGATCTGGGAATGGTTTAGATTCACAAATCAGCCCGGCAGATGGCACTGCAGTCGGTACTTTCATACTTTGCTTAATATCCTAATCGCTTTAAATATCATGCAGGACAACGTCTGTGGGGTCCACTAGTATTTATATAAAAAGGTAGCTGTTAATGTATGTTGTGTTTTTATAAAAAAACAAGGCAAGCATGTATACATATTCTATATATCGCAGACCAATTACAAAAAGCAAAGATTTTTTTATAAAACTAAAAAGTAATAGACCACTCGCTCATAAGAATATTTACGATTTAGCATTGTCCAAGAGATATTACTTCAAACACAGAGGCCATTTTCGGAAGCATCAGCAGAATAAAAGTACTCGGGGAAGGTTCAAGAGGTACTTTGTTGAAAATTAGGGTGCCCCTTATAGTACGAGCCATGATCATACCTACATTTCGAATTGTGTTCCTGTTTCAAAGCTCCATAAAAGTTTACTGCAGATCGGATTTAAATGGCCTTTTGTCACCTAAGCGTTGGAGACTTTTTATGGCTTTTTAAATTGATACAGCGTATTATGGTGTGGGGCAATGTTTTTTCTAATTTAATTGAGAATTACGGTATGTTATCAGATTTTGCTTACCTTGAATTAACTATAGATTTATTCACTTAATAACTTACTAAAATTACCGAACTATATAGAAGCGGGAGTAACATTTCTTAATTATATTTAGAAAAATTATTTACATATTATATTATGTAACTTAATAAATAATTTCATAAATATTATTTATTTATTTTTTTAAACTTCGTTGCATACAGAAATATAATACTAAATAACTAAATATAATAAATGAAAAGGAGGGCAACTGGCGGGCTTATCGCTTTCGAGCGATCTCTTCCGGGCAACCAATGTGAGAAAGAAACAAATTATAAAAATAGGTAAAAAAACTTTTTAAGTTAAACGGTTTTATGTTAAACATACATTGCAATGTTTAAGATAAATGTACTAAAAACCAAAAAATAATAAAATAGATACAGTCGTGGGAATTATAAACATATGCATAGACTAGACTAAAATAAAACCGTGGGGCACGTCAATTGTCTACAAATTATCGACTTAATGTGCGATAGAAGAATCGTTTAATTCGTCGTTAAAATAGGCAGTTGGCCCGCAGACGTCCTGAAATTACTTACTATTTTCTTGCTCATGGAAATTCCAATAGTTATACACTCCATGTAAATAAAAGAGATGTTTCAACTAGTTTATCGTTGGACATTCACACTGCTGGCTGGCGAGGAATCGTTTCACTGCTCGTAGTTTGTCTTTAATCGACAAAACATATGATAAAAGTACTACTCGCTCACCACTATGAAACCCTAAAACTCGCTTATAATCGAGCTTGCTAGCTTGTTTCCACATTCTAGCCCTACTTATCACACGTCCATCGTTGTCGGTTGAACAACTGCCTAATTATAGTGTAACATTACAAAACAAACATTTTAATCAACGATTGTAGACAATTGACGTGCCCTACGGTTTTATTTTAGTCTAGTCTATGCATATGTTTATAATTCCCACGACTGTATCTATTTTATTATTTTTTGGTTTTTAGTACATTTATCTTAAACATTGCAATGTATGTTTAACATAAAACCGTTTAACTTAAAAAGTTTTTTTACCTATTTTTATTTTCTAGTTTTTAGTTTTTAATTCATTTAGTGCTTCATTATTGCAAGGTCCCTTGCCAGTTAGTTTATATAAATAAATCAATTCTATAATATAAATATAATATATATTTAATTAATAAAATAGATACAGTTTTTAATATAATGTTATATATATATATATATTTATATATTATATAATATTTATTTTTTTATTTATTTTTATTTTATTTATTTAGTTTATTGTATTGTCACCAAAATCCAAAGTGTATACAAAATTTCAGATTAATCGGTTGACAGGAAGAGGGTGAAATTTGAATTACTAAATTTGACCCAAGAATAAAACAAACGGGGTGAGCTAAATAAAACCGTTTAATAAAGGGCAAGCGCAAGAAGTCCAAAAATACATAAGTAATATGAAATATCGAAATATAGTATAATTAGGGTTTGCATTGTTTTAATTGAACATTCATCTGTCTCTTTCATCACAGCGGAAACGAAATTGGACAGAAAGAGACATAACTTTACGAGACTAATTCAGCATATAATAATATGTATATGTAAAGTTTTTAAGTTATTAATTATTCTTTCTTGGGAAAAGGGGTACTTTTCTTTCATAAAATCCCAGAGGCTCTTTTATCTCTACCTTTTAATAAATTTAAGAAATGTATTAAAGAAAAGCTGTGTAAAAAGGCTTACTATAAAGTTAACGATTATCTAGTTGATAAAAGGGCCTGGGGCTAGTGCTACTCCTAATTAATTTGCGATATTTGTTTTAAAATAAGAGTGGTTTGATTTGCTATTTCAAAAGAGTACCGAGAGTTTTTTACGCCGGTTTCTTCTCGCGGCCTACACCCCCTGTCTTCTTTGCCGATGAGTAGGGATGTCTACAGATTCAAATTTAATGACGTGGAATAAGTGATACCTGTATCTTATATTCATAATAAATAAATTCTATTTTATAAAGGTGTAAGATATAAAAAATGCACAAATATCAAAATTTTTAACTGTAAATGAGATATTAAAACGCTACACTTACCAGTTATATTAAGGACGACTCTTTCCCCATGCGTTGCAACAATACGCCATTCGCAACGCTCGGGTGTTGCTGGAGGTGTTTCTGTCCCCCAACCCGGCGAGTTGAACCATCCCGAATTTCCTAAGAAAGTTTTGCCGCATTCTGGAAGAATCGAAGAGTTATGTAACGCAAGCGAGATGCATTTATGAAGCTTGTAATTTTAAAATAGGGTGTTACTGGTCCTTGTGCAATATTCGAATAAAGGCGAAAACATATAAAACGCCACGCGACCTGATGTAACTGGTTGTTGAGTCGAATAAAATTTTACTATTTTCTATGACTAAAATCACACTATGAACATCCGACGCGAACCCATGCGCGCACATGCCACCCGACGTGACCCGACGCATACAGAAGTAGAAGTAGAAGCTGATCAGTCGCAGAATGAAAAGTACAGTTTGAAAGCATTTTACGATAATTTTGGCCATATATGTGCCCAAAATTTTCTTAATACTCCTTATATTTATCTAAAACCAGTGGTCTGTGTTCAAATTGGCAGAATAGGTATTTCTAATAGTGATAAATTAGGCTGTTTCTGAGTAAAATTATTTTTATTTTACTAATACTTTAGACTTTAGTTTAAAAACAATCTAGTTCTACAGAAGTAAAAAACCTCCTTAATATGTGATGTCTTACAGATTCTAAATTTTTTGAGAGATTTAAGTCCTATGTAATACTTACTAGCACATTTATAAAGAAGATTAGTTTGGGCGATGTCACTGGCACTTAATCTCACTCTCTGCCCAATCTCCGGTCTCTTCTTTCCATGTACTTCTAGCGGTAATATCGTGTCTAAATATGTACCCTGGATAAACATACACTTAGGTAAATAATAAGTGCTTACTGATTATGGAAATACTACTTTAATTAAAATAACATTCGATATGAGTTTTAGATTTTGGAGAAATAAGGATGGTTTTTTTTATTACGACGAATCGACTCGATCGAACCGACAACAGGCTAAACCTGTTGTCGGTTCGATCGAGTTCATCTAATGAAACAAGGTGTGTGCAACTATATGCTTCCACTTATATTTAAATTTTTGTCTTCACCCGGGATTTAAATCTCCTTCAAGCAAGCTTAAGACAGTTATATTAAATATGCGTTTACCACTAACCCACGCTAGCGATGAGAAATAAACAATATTTTAAAACACTATTACAGAATTTAATTTTTAACCAGTAACCCTTTAACCAGTGTGATGGAATAAATGAATAAAACTACCCATAATGGATTCTACATTATGCAATACCTACCTTGCTAAAAGTGTTTCGCGCGTAGTGCATTATAGAATCATAGTCATAAGTCTGCCCCAATGAGTTCACTTCTTCTTCCGTTAGTTTATTGAAATTATACTCTTGTCCTGTAACATTTTTATTCATAAAACTTCTTCAACGGATATAAATCCGAATTAAATACATTATTAGCGGCCCAGGCACTTTGATTTTATCTAAAACCCCAACTATACTCCAAGAAATTTACACAACTCCTTGACAAATTATAACTATTAATTAATTAACCTTTCTCGTGAATCACTGTTAAGTATTGATAATATGAAAAAAAATATATCAGTGGCGCTCAGATGTCTGAATCTTGGGTCTAAGGCTAGCTGGTTCCTCACGATGTTTTCCTTACCGTTCGAGCGAATGTTAAATGCGCACATAGATAGAAACTCCATTGGTGCATAGCCGGGGATCGAACCGATGAGAGTCGCACGCTGAAGCCACTAGCGCAACATTGCACTATATTGGTAATATGTAACCGTATGAAAATCCGTGCAGTGGTTCTTGAGTTTATCGCGAACAGACTATGGCGGCGGAGGACTGTTTTATACTATGTATCTAGTGCAGCAACCACTAGCAATCGTGGTCTGCAAATTATAAATATCCCACTATTATAAAAATATGTTTGATTTAAATGTATAGTACCCTCGTAAATCGAAAGCAATGACTAGACATCATTTTATTTGATAATTTTTAAATAATTGCGTAAATGATAAATTTCGAAATAATGTACCATTAATTCTTTATGAATTTTCTGTCTATCAGAAATCTTAGTTTTTTATAGAACGGGGCAAACCAGCAGGAGGCTCACCTGATGTTAAGTCACCCGCCCATGGACACTCTCAATGTCAGAGGGTTCGCGAGTTGCATTGACGGCCTAATATTTGGTACGCTCTTTTCTTTAAAATCTTCTTTCAATTCTTTTACTTAAACTCATTTAAGATTGTAGTCATAATAAAACATTATATGGTTTTGACGTTAATGCCTATATTAAATTATGTTTAACACACTTTGATAAAGTTTATGTTGATGCTTAAATCTGAAAAAATATTTCATAAAAACATTCCACGCTTAAATCACGCTCTCACAAATATGAATTGTGAGAAGAGAGTATTATGATTATAATAACTGCGCAGCTTAATATTTGGAGTATTTTTCATATAAAACGTTTTTTCTCGGTAATTGAACGTGATTTTCACGATACAGTTATTATATTTAAAAATGCATAGGTACATAATATTAATTGAAACAGCATTATTTAGGATTTATAACTAAGAGGAAGTCAGTGGCGCTACAACCCTTGGGGTTTGCCTTAGATTTCTCTGTTCTCTCTGTTGTACGTTCTGTACCTGACACACGCCGTCGACTTTGTAGGTCTCAGACATTCCGGCTTCATCACGATGTTTTTCTTTCACCGTACAAGCGAGTGCTAAATGCGCACATAAAAATAAATTCCATTGGTGCGGGGTTGGAACCTACGACCTCTGAGAAGGAAATCACACGCTAAACTTGTTTTAACTAATTACACAATATTATGACAAAGAAGTAGATTTATTTTCAATAGATTCCGTACACTTAAATATAATTAAAAATGCTTTGAATATCTCTCGTCTATTTATTATGTGGTAATTATTTATGAATGAAAAGTAAAAGTTAAGCTAAACCGGACACGTATTACTAATTTCAATAGTTCATCACCATTGTGCTTTTCGATAGCGCAAGTACGAGTTTAAGTTTACGAGTATACTAATAATAAAAGAGACTGAAATCACAATGTAAAAGAATTTGAGGTTGAATTTGGTATATTCAGGATTTATCCTGTACGGTCACAATTTTTTTTTCTCCTAATCAATCCAGGCATCCCCCTCCTCCTTCTTGTTTAAATTCCGTTCAACGTGCGAGCAATCAAAATTTATACATATAATTACAAATTGCTTGATAAAAGGTGGCTTAAAACGATGAATAATGATAATTGAACTGTCGGCGAGTTGCGCGAACCGCAAAATATATAAGAAAGAAAAAATATTATTCTTCTCTATTTCTTTATATTTATATATATTAATAGCGACCCGGCAAACGGTGTTTTGCCATGGATACGTATATTATTTCTAGGAAACATTTTTTTAATTCAATAAAAATAACTAGGTATAATAAAAAATAGGGGTTGATCGAAAAGGGGTGAAAGTTAAGGGTTGTACGTATTTTTAATGCATATAATAAAAAATAATAAAAAATGTTATAAAAAAAATATTTTTTTTGGGGTGGACACCCCTTATTACTTAGGAGTTTGAAAGATACATATTAGGTGATGTTAATTATTTCGACTATGTGTTTGCGTGTTGTTCCCACGAGAATGTAAGTGCGTGCTCCTATTTCACCATGCCTCCTGCTGATAGGGGACAAGTCTTTGTTTTTATTTATGTTATTATTATTAATTACTTAAAATGTCATGTGGAACATGGTGTAATGGTTGCAGCTCCTTACAAACGTTGTGTAAAAAAAAAAAAAAAACATGGCGATTAAAAAGAGTGGCGGAGAGTTTATTGCCAGTTCTTCTCTTCCGTTCTACGCCCTTGATTTGAGAACTGGCAGTAAGTGTAAAATTAGAAGCATTAATACTTATTTCTTTAATGACGAATCACAAGTGTACATTGTGTTACCTACGTGAATAAATGATTTTTGAATTTTGAAATTTTTTTGAAATTTTTTAGCCGATTCTCAGACCTACTAAATTTGCATTAAAAAATTCATAAGAATCGGTCGAGCCATTTCGGAGGAGTATGGGAACGAACATTGTGACACGATTCTTAACCGTGTCAAAAGTCGTTAGAACATGGTGCACTTTTCTATGTGTGAAGTTAACACTTGATCGCACGGTGATAAATAATAGTGATTGCATGAAATAGACACAAACATCTATGATATTTATGTCAGGTACAGTAGGAAGAACATTTCTTTAAAGAAAAAAATCTAGGAAGCAATATGTTAATTTGGAACCCTACTAGAATTCATTTATATTTGTACATTAAGGAAAGTATGAAAGGGGAATGGCTTGGAATAACAGCCTTGTTACTATTAAATAATACATTATTTAATAATAACTACTACATACGTAACTTTTCTATACAAAAAGTAGACGAGTCGATCATTATTCTAAGGAATTGTTTTGACTCGTAGCAATTACGAATTGCGTTTTACATTGAGCCTACAGTAACAAAATGCGCTTTGATAAAACATGAAATTTTATTCACTGTATTATTATTTGAATTCATATGTTGTTCGAAATTTAAATAAACAGGAAGGACCGTGATACCCTTTTTCCATACTTTTCCTATAAAAATACAGAGCTATCTATGACGGTGATGTAGATGACGCGATGTTTCCTGTTGTATTTCTAGTTATGATCTTATATGATGACTTACGACGTAAACAGTATATTATCCAGTAATTTATTGCACTTTATTCACTGATAATGTAAAAAAATATATCGTCATGGTCATGGCATGTGAGTCATGAGATAAAAAAAACTGTTCCGATAAAAAAATGTGTAATATATACATTGTGTATATATTTTTAACTTTCTACATCTTAGTTTTATAAGAATGTTTTATTTCTATATATATGAATTGTAATTCATTATTTTAGTTGTAGGAAATATTATTATTATATTATTTCAATAAGGTCGTATGCATAGGGCAATAATACATTAAATTTCGGTACACCTTTTCCAAATTACCTGTTAACGTTAAAAACTTTTCATTTCCATGTTTTACACGAAAAAAACTTTTTAAGAAATGTATTCAACTAATATAATTAAAGAAATACGAGGACTATTTATAAATAAAGTTACGCAACGTGCTGTTTGTAAAGATTTGAGCCGCAATGAGATTCGGGTCAAGCACCACATTTGAAGGCTACACGTAACACGACGCACTCACACTTTACGGTTATGACGTATCTTTGACGGAATTAGCAATTCAATATAAACCCCTCGACTTTGGACCGAAATAAATCCGTACGTGTCCCAAAGAAAGCGCAAGAACAATCAAATTGAAATTACCACAGCCGACAAACAAGTTCAATATCTAAATGTATCAACGTTACCGATATTAGAAATTTATAGTAAAATAAAACTAGCTGACCCGGCAAACGTTATTTTGCCATGTATATTATTTCTAGGAATCATTTTTCTATCTACTATAATAAATAATTAGTTGATCGTAGAGGGGTGAAAATTGTCTAAAGAATAATTTGTTTTTTTGGGTTAGACACCACTTATCACTTAGGGGTTTGAAAGATAGATAGTAGCCGATTTTCAGACTTATGGAATATGCATTAAAAAAAATTCATAGGAATCGGTCGAGCCGCGAAGTATGGGAATGAACATTGTGACACGAGAATTTTATATATTAGATAAAATAAACTGATCAGTAGATTAACACAGTGTTTTTAAGCACTGCGTCCTACGGCACGATCTAGAGTTGTAGATCGTATTTTATTACAAATCTACTTTTTACCTTGTTAGGGGGCAGTCTCGTGACCCCAATGAACTGGGACACCAAAGTGTTGTTATTTCCTTATTCTTTTACTCGTACGCAGTGTAAAGGTGAACATTTGAACATGTTTGCATTTTACATCTGTGGTGACGAAGTATTGCAAAAAAGTTGCTTTTAGAAAGAAGAAAATTAGCAATTTGCAATTTATGTTAACGCAATTATTATGGAATCCATAGTTTCACCTTCTATCGTGGTAAGGTATTTTGTGGAAATGCTAGGCTAAGAATACGGAACGGGCAAGCTGTATATTAACAAAGTTTTTTTAAGGTTAAAGTCTCACCCTTGTGAAGACGGAGCTGGTTTAATAAATATATGTACTAATTACAAGTATATATTCTACATAGTAAGAATATTTGTATATAACTAACTAACCTAACAACCTTATGTATTTCATGTAAAGCTTTCAGAGAACTGAATCGTTTCATTATTAATTAGCACAATTGTCGGTATAAGTAGATTACGTAATTACAGTTAACAGCTCCCACAGTGGGTGATTGAGTACACGCCATGCCACTTAAGCAATTTCGAACCGGGGAAGACGTTTTAATTTTCCAGTTACGGCTTACATTTGTTGACAGGTAAAACACTTCCGCTATTCATTAAGCACCTTCATGAATATATTACCTTAAATAGCTGTATTTAAAAATTGAAACACTTAATTGATAATAGATGTTTGATTTAGAGATTGTTAGCTTTCTTATGTATGTGTTTATTTAAATCACTTAAATATACATGATAAAACATATCTTTACTATTTGAAATATATATATAAAAAGCTTCAAAAAAGTTAAGGTTTGTTGAACGCATTATTGAACGTACATATATTAAGAACTCTTCGGTATAGTGTTCTGTTTGAAATGTTATTTTAATTTTAGATAGTCCATTAATTACGAAAGACCGAATTAAGGCTAATGGGCCACAAATAGAGATAAAAAAATATTTTTTTAAATTAATTTAAAGTTATATTTATGAATAGCTATTACTGTTTATTAAACATCTTATAATTATATAGATAAACTAGCTGACCTGGCAAACGTCGTTTTGCCATGTATATCATTTATAATAAAATATAGGGGTTGATCGTAGAGGGGTGAAAATTAGGGGTTATGTGTATTTTTTAATGCTGTATCATATAAAAATAAAAATGTATCTAAAAATAAAAAAATAATTTAGGGGTGGACTACCCTTAACATTTAGGGGGATGAAAAATAGATGTTGTCCGATTCTCGGACATACCCAATATGCACACAAAATTTTATGAGAATCGGTCGAGCCGTTTCGGAGGAGTTTAACCACAAACACCGCGACACTAGAATTTTATATATTAGATAATAGAATATCTCGAAAACCGATAATATTAAAATGGAATTTTTGAAGTGATTTAAAGTTTAAAATGAATATCGAATTACTGCATGATGCAAATATTTTTTTCACCATTTTGGAATTATCTCATGCCGTTCACTACATCCAGCGATAAGTGATAAATAATCACTTGATTGTATCGAAGCCTTTCCTCAGTACGACAATTATTTATTATTCTTATCTTAGGGATAGCAAATGAAGCGGGATATTGTATCCAATATGTTATACGTTGTATCAGTAAACATAAATAATGGGGTTCTTGGTTTGATCGGATAAAAGAAAAATATAAGGGCCTGTATTAAAAAAGAGTAACGACTTAGTTAAGTTCAGTTAGTTAACCTGGCGATATTGACAGCAAAATATTTGGACTGTGTATATAACAATACGTAGTTTACAAATGTAATAATTATTTTTTATCATATCGCACAGACCTTTTTTACTTGAAGTGATTTTAAATAGTGTGACGTAAAAACATCATTCATTACTAATAATTATGAATATTGTTCCACTAATAATAAAAATAAATTATTGATATAGGCGTTACATCGGGATACTTTTGTAATTTTAAACACGAAAATTAAATGTAAAACTGTATTTTAACTATGCTTTTACAAGTATTATAAATGTATTTTTATGACTATAGAGCCAGCCGAGAGATCAGAAGACGCATCATGATAGCAAATCGCTGCTACTTTGGCCTTCGTAGATATTTCCGATCGTGACTTCACAGATAGAATACCAAGCTTGTTCTGTAAAAAACTCTGTTGCGACCAGTGCTCACTTATAATTCTGAAACCCTTAGAAAAAAGACGAGGTCTCTCTCCTTATTTTCGAGTGGAAGATTCTTAGAAAAATCTATGGTCCTGTTTTTGTATTTGGCGTATTCGCTACATTGAAGAACTTTTTAACATGCTAGACGACGCCATGGCGAAGTGTACTCGAGGAGGCTAAGCCCCACGAGGGGCTGTATAACTATTGATGATGATGATGATTTTTATGAATAAGTGTTTTTTACATACCTGTCATAATATTGTCCCTGATGATTTGGACATGCCTGTCTCTGTCGGGTCGCGTATGCTCATGCCAGAAGCCGACAACGTGACCCAGCTCGTGTACAACGATACCGAACTTATCGCAATTCTTTCCAATTGATATCGCTTGAGCACCGTTACCACGTTTTCCGACAAAGGAACAACACCTGATATATAAGAAAGTTTATTAGTAGCATTTTCATAGCAGTTCTCGAATGATCAATCTATTTTTCTTCTATCTATGTTTGCCATAGTAATTTGATATTTTAAAAGGGTACGGAGTTTATTACGCCGACTTTTTCTTTCGGCTTACACCCTCTGTCTTCTTTGCCGATGATTAGAGATGTTACAAATTTAATGATGTGGAATAAGTAATACCTGTATCTTATATTCCATAATAAACATATTTTATTTTTTATCGATGACGGAACTTTATTTATTGCTTTATTACTTGATTTGATATCTTTACCGTTAATAGTGTCAAAACTTATAATGGTTTTGTCAAGTATTTGCATACGATTTTGACACTATATTTATTATGTATTTGTGGCAAAAATTATAGGAAATCAATGCAATTTACTAAACAATACAAATTGATCTACTCGTGCTATTAAATGGAAATTCAATTCAAAATCTTGTTCTTCTAGTAACTTCGCTTGATAGCATGTTTGGCTTATATGTATTAGATATGCATATAGAAACCGAGCGACAAAGAAGTACTAAAGAAGAAGAAGTAGTTCTATACTGCCATATAGAATTATTGCTTGAAACCAGGCACTTCACTTAGAAATTTGTTCAAGGAAATCGATATTTTGACGGTACCTTCCCAATATATTTACAACTGTATCGTTTTTGTGCGTAGTAATATTAGTTCTCTTTTAAAGAACAGCGACATTCACAATAGGAATACAAGAAATAAGGGAAAACTTTTCCAGCCGTCTTACAGGTTGCAGAAAATAAATACTTCATTTATGGGCCTAAGTATACGCTGCTATAACAAGATTCCTAGTGAAATATTGGAACTGCCTTTAAACAGATTCAAAACACACATCAAAAAAACCTTAATGTGTAAAGGTTACTACACAGTCAATGACTACCTGGAAGATAAAAACGCTTGGCAATAGTTCTAATTATATTCTTATAATTTGATTTGTTATCTTTGAAGTGTTATGAATATGTGTGTAATGGTGAATGTGGTAAATCACAGAACAGATTTTTTATTTTTTTTTACTTATGTAATTTTAATGACGTTGTGATTTATGACATTTTCCTTTGAATAATTGTAATGTAAAGGGAGGGCAAACTTGCTGAGTTTCTTGCCCGTTCTTCTCAGAACAAGGCCTCCTGGTAGTTTTGCGAACGGATGGCGTAGTCTTGCTCTTTCGTGAATTTTGTAAACGTTGTTGACATTCATAAGCATGCTCTAAGAAGCATCTAAATTGAATAAACGTATTTTGATTTGATTGATTTGATTTGATTTGAATCCTAGTGCATATATAATAATCACACAATACATAATTCGTTCTATTATTTTTGGTCTAAGCTTTGACAATATATGTAATTTAACTAACATTTAAGCGTAGGATGATAGCTAGGTGGAGTCCTAACAAACGTTAAACACAAACAGTACGATAATTTTAACATAGATTTTTCTAATTAAAATGAGGTAACAACATAGCGTAATTTCATCTTATTCAGAAATGAAATATTTGTGCTAAAATAACTTCTAACGAAATTAATTAAATTTGGGCAATGGCAATTTGGATATGAAATTGTATAACTCGATATTAATTCGCCAATTGAATCGATTTGGCTTAATTTGATTAAACAGGAAAATTGCTTACGCATTCATTTAGAATTTATTGTAATCGTCGTCAAAAATTGTAATATTTTTTTTATATAGTAAATCATTTATGTTTTTGAAGTTAAGTCGAATTTCTGTTTTATATAAGTTTTTATATTGGCTTACTCACCCACACGGCCGCTCTGTGAAAATAATGTAGTCCCTATGTAGTTCGGAATCTCTTTCGACGAATTTGACGCAAGTAAAGTTTTCCCAATGCCTCATAGCTTGTTTGAATAGAGATTTATGAGCCCCACTAAAGTTCCCGTCAATTTCATATGGAATCACACCATTTTCCCATATCCGCTCTTTTCTGTTTGTCGCCGCGCGGGCACTACGGTGCCTTATTTTATCCTCAGTTTTATTATAAAATTGACTTTCGGCTTCTTCTAAGTCTATATCAGAATCGCGAAAAAACCAGTCTTTGAAAATTTCTGTATTATTCTTTAGAGGCGCCTTTGGCGGTGGCTTAACGTCAAACTTTTCTTCGAATTCATGCTCGGGTATTTCAAATTTCCTGTATTCCAGTTCATTTCGAAATTTCTTATGATGGCGAAAAAACTTCTTTCTCTCTTGATCGTCTTCTTCTGACCACTTCGATCTATTTTTATCCAAATCCTCAATGGACTGTATGTTGCGTAGTCTAGAAGAAACTTTGCATTATAATAAATACAATTTTAACTATAAATTAAATATCGTAATAACAATACACTCATTTCTGCTTACCTCCTTCTATTACCATGTCTCCTTCTTCTGTGCCGCTTGTGTTCACTAGAGTCACCAATCAAAGTTTGTAGGCTTTCCGTGGGTTTTAGTAAATCGTTAGTTTCATTTATGTCTGGTTTTAGTTTATACCTCGTTTTATCGGCCCTATTTATAGTTTGATTGCTATCATCTAGAACGCTAGATGACAAGTCTCCGTTCGTTGGTGCAGGTGCCACTGTTGCGTTTTCTGGTAACTTGAATTTAATATTGTTATTATTATTTGAATCCCCAGTTATTTCACGACTGTTACTTTGTATTTTATTTTTGACTTCATCTGCTTTAGGTGAATTATTTGACAACTTAATATTTGTATAGAGTTCGTCAAGATTCATTACATTATCAGTTGAAATGTTTACAACTAAAACGCCGTCTTGTTCTAGGCTTTCTGATTCTGTCAAGTTATCAACAACAATATTATGATTAGTTTGATTTACGGAGTTGATAGGCTCAAGATAATCCAAATTTTCACCAGGCGGTAATTTACCATTTTTTAGCAAAAGAGATTTGTCCAGCCCTGCTGGTAGAACCTGAAAATTATTGTTCAATTAATAAATAATCACAAAAAGGGAAGGTATTATTATGTTATGTTATACCTTAGAAGAAATAGAAGCTTCATTATACTTTTTCGGTTTTTCTTGTGATAACTGTAAAGGTTGTTTGGTTCTTTTTCTTAGAATGTCAGGCAATCCTTCTTCTTCTACTTGAAGACCCTCTAACAAGACTTCCTTTTTTAGTCTTTCAACTTCTTCTTGAAGGGATTTATTAATTTTAGAAGAACTCGGAGCGTTTCTAGGTTTGTAGTAATCGACGTCTGGTATTGCGATATCTCCTTGAAAGTTACCTGCAAATAGAACAAAATATTATGAATAATACTAAATATCTCAATGAAGCTTTCTTGGATAATTACTTGAAATATTTCTACAAAACTTTGCATCAAATCGAGAAGACGTTACGTCTTTCAATGCAAAATAAGTTAATGAAGTTCAGAACTCCCCATTCAATTAAATTTACCAAGTAGCAATTAAATTATGCTTATAAAAAGTGGTTTCAACTGTCATAGTTTTTTGATTAGTGACATTTATGGTATTATTCTTTTATTTCCGTGTTGTTGTTTGTCTGACGGGTATTAAAGTCATTAAACCGTCCGGACATAAATCCAATTATGTCTGAATAATCAAATTGATCTGAATTTCAAATTCGCCGTAGCTGCCGTAGTGCGCGTGAATTGCAGTAAGCTATTAGCGACGTTGCCATCTGCTACGACCATAAAATGTAATGACCGCATGTTTCTGCCCCATCTGCGGCCCAACGCTCGCTGCCAATTAATTAATTCTCAACACACGCATACACGACGCGAATTGGATAACATGCTTTACGATAGTTCCTGGGAATATGAATATTCATTGTGGCACCTTGTTGACGTTAATTATAGCTGCCGATTACAATTTTCCGATACAATACGTTATTGACTGATAAAGGGCCAGTTACTTTTGTAAGTAAATAATGTAATATACGTATGAAAGGAAGGAATTAAAAATTAAGTAAATTGGACTAGGACAGCTTTTCTGTTCCAGTAATCAGGAAATTCTGCTAAAAACTTTTTGTCGAGAACAAACTCCTCGTTTGACTAATATAAAAAGCTTCGATAAAATTTACCCATCGGATGTGAGTTCTATTCTCTTTTTAAAATACCTACGAACTCGAATAATTCACAAACTCATTTGTAAACTAGTGTTATTCAACTCTTCCAATAGATAACTTTTATTTAGTATCTGCGAGTTTTTGTTAGAGCTACATTTGAAATTTAATGATGTATGAATTGCGAGGGATCATATGTGCAATATTCAATAATCGATTACACTAATATGAAATTAAAGTTCGATTCACATTTCCCCATTACATTTATAAACCTTTTGCCGAAGGTTTAACCGTAATAAAAGCATTCAACTTTCACAATACTAAAGCAATTTATTATTTCTTTGTTACTTTGTTTCAATTTCCGCACTTTTACTAGTTCGGGACTAAACTGAAACTAGTTAAGAATTTCATTTAAAGTATAAGAAGAATATTACGAAGTTTTAGAACTAGATAAACTTTATGTAGATTTACCTCCACTGTGTCTTGATTTACGTAAATCAAGTTTCGCGTATTCCAAATATAATATACCTTGGAAATAAATACATGTATGACAGAATTTCTTAAGTTATACTTTTTTAGGCGCGTTATGAAAAATTGATGAGAGTGAAATTTTACGATGCGCACCGTGACACAAAATTAACAGAATGAAGTTGCCCACGGAAGATGCTACGGAATTGGACATAATTTGAAAACAACATTCGAATAAGTATAGAATTTATGTTACACTCAATGTAAGAGAATAATAATAAATATTTATTTATTTAATTTTTCAAATGTAAACTGAACTTTATTGACTATAATGACTCCTTTTCCAGTCTTTGATTATTTTATTGTAATTAATTATTTGCCTGCAATCAAAAACTATTTTTAATAATGCCAAAGAAGTATAACTTCTTACGCGCGTACATCAGTACACGCACCCTTTTTTTATGTCATACACTTATCGAGTACAACACGCAATTAATAGGGCATACATAGGTTTATAAATAAAAACCTCACAATTGAATTTTAGTTTTCAAAATTATTGGAGTTACATGTCATCGTAAGCATTCTCCTTTTTTGTAAATACTAATATCCTGTCTACCTATTTAGGCTGTCGTCCTAACAACTATGATACAAAGGCACGTTATAAAAAGATATAGAATATAGATAGAGATATAGATAAAGATATAGAATATAGGATCTTCATAATAACTCTATTTGCCTTATTTTTCATACATAAGGTAGAGTATTATGAAAATATTTGTATATGTCACCGTAAAATTGTAAACACCGTTAGATTGTAATCTATCTCGCGACATTGTGAACTGTCGAAAGATTGTGAACCTCGACAAACTGCTTACAATTTAACATTTTATTATTCGGTACAATATATGTAATCTATCGAAGTGAAACCGTCAAATTACAATCTTAAAATTGTCAGATTACAATCTAACGGTGTTTACAATTTTACGGTGACATATATAAATATAGTTTCCGGCCGTTAAAACTACTCGGTGATATCTTTGTCTACGTATACAGTATCCAAGGGCGGAAGAATTTCAGAATATTACTTTTAGTTATTAAGCACTATAAAATACACTTTAAAGTATTAAAGATTCCATTCCAATTGACTAGAACCTGTTGAATTGAATCTTGCTATAAAAATAGTAATGGAATATATAACAGTGAAGACCCCTGTTGGTACTTTATTTTTGACATCAAAATTTATGTTTTCACTATAGTATTCAAATACATTTTGCTAACATAATATCATAAATGTATCCAAAAAAAAGTTTTATTAACACGCACAATACGAGACACCAGGGATGAAACTTCGGCCAGAAACTACACTCGCGAGCAACTAAATCGACTCAAGCGCTACCTCTAGATTCAAACATGGTTCTAAATAAAAGTATACAACATTTAAATAAATATAATATGTCATTTGAAAGCTTGAAACCTAAGCTTTAAAAAAAATATCAACATCATTAAATAAAAGAAGTACCAAAATGTTAATTTGCGCAATTAGGGCGTATGGGACAAATTACTCACTACGCTACCAGCCAGTTGCGCTACCCTCTACCCCTATAAAAACCCCCGTTACCTTTCCACCCTTATCAGTCGCTTATAAACAGTTGACCGATACATATCTCAGCAACCTGCATTCATTGTTTTTAAGAAACCATGGATACCACACCTCAAGAAGCCGCTCAAGTTGTTGCCTTATTGGAACAAGGACTCAGTCAGCGAGTAGTCACTTCCCAGCTTTACTTGAGTCAGTCTGCTGTATCCCGAGTATACAGACAATATCAAGAGACTGAAACATTCACTCGGAGACCAACAACCAGTCGCCACGGTTGTACTTCTGAATGAGACGACCGTTTCATTGTTTCAACCTCCCTGCGAAATCAGCACCTTACGGGTGTCGACGTGCAGGGCGAGCTGAGACGTGTTCGAGGAATAGCTGTCAGCGAGTGGACAGTAAGAAGACGTCTGATGGAAGCCAACCTGACTCCAAAAAGGCCTGCAACGGGCCCCAACTTGACTGCAGGCCACCGGAAAGCTCGGCTACAGTTTGCTCGAGAGCATCTTAACTGGAGCATTGGGCAATGGCGGTCGTCCTGTTGACTGACAAGTGTAGAATGTGTCGTTATGGCAGTGACAAGAGAGGCTGGGTCTACAGGCGTCCGGGAGAGCGATTTTCCCAAGGCTGTTTCGCAGAAACCGTTGCCTATGGCGGCGGTTCTTGCATGATGTGGGCGGGTATCTCGTTGGAGGGTACAACCTAGCTCGTTTTCATGCCTGGAGGAGGCCGAGGAGCAGGACTGACAGCTGATGGGTACATTACAAATATTCTCCTGGAACATGTTGTGCCCTACGCAGGATTTGTTGGCGAAGACTTCATCCTTATGCACGACAATGCTCGATGCCACACAGCGCGGCTTGCTCAGCAGTTTCTTCGAGAAGTCGATTTGCGCACAATGGACTGGCCTGCGCTTAGTCCAGACATAAATCCCATCGTGCATGTATGGGATGAGCTCAAACGAAGGGTACGAGCAAGGAATCCAGCCCCTTCGAGCCTTGAATAATTGAAGGCAGCTTTGTTAGAGGAATGGGAAAGTATTCCTCAAGACACCGTCAAAAATTTAATAAGGTCGATGAAGAACCGAATACAGTCTGTAATTAGGGCTAGGAGGACAATACGAAATACTAAACCAATAAGTTTTATACTTCTTAAGAAAAAAAAACATGTTTTATTTGTGTTAATTCTGAATACAACTCCTTTACCCAAAATCACATTTTTCCCCCATTTAAGTTCAGACATCAATAATAAAAAAATGTATAGATGGATATTAATAATGATGTCATCACATAAAAGCTGAAGTTTTAAGCTTTCAAATGACATATTATTTTTATTAAAATGTTGTATACTTTCACTTAAAACAATGTTTGAATGCAGATATAACGCTTGAGTCGATTTGCTTGCTCGCGAGTGTAGTTATTTTACAAAGTGTAACCTAAGTTGAACAATAGGTATGCTATTGACCTTGCGTTGCGGCCCGTGTAGTTATCAAGGCCTATATTATGCAATTGTTAACTGTCTATACATAGATACTGCAGTTTGCCACTGACGACACGTCCTGGAATTGGGTCTTTAATCTACATGGATGCTTCTAATTGTAAAAAGTTGTTTATACATAATAAGTCGAATATTTTATAACGTTTAAACTTTAAATCTTGGTGGTGGAGAGAATACGAAACGTTGAGTTATGTAAATAGTAAATAAAATCACTATTTAAATATGTAGTAGGCGTACCAAGGAGATTGGTGTATTCTTTTGGAAATACAATGATGGTTCGTTGTATTAAAAATTGTAACAAGACTCACGATCAACCACGAAACCTTTTCTTTTCTTGTAACGTAAAAGATTCGGTGTTGAATGTTGAAATCAATACGAGATTTTTAATTGTTAAACTGTTATATCTCGCATAACTTATAATATAAAACAGGTTTATAGCCTTCGAACCCCACATCCCGGACCTCCGCTGACACACTATGGAGGTAACAATTCTATATTTTTCTTAAGATTAACTCGTAGTTCCAAATTGTTTGATTCAGTGCGCTATTCAGCGCAGTAACGGCGGTGTACTGAAGCGAGTTGCTCTGCTGTTGACAGCCTAATATGTGGGGATAAGGTTTTTCTATACAATCGAAGAAATCTTAATGTCTAAAAATTTAAGTTATTTTTAATAAATAACAACGAATTATAAAAGAACAACAAGCTGACCTGGCAAACGTTGTTTTGCCATGTATATTATTTTTAGAAAACATTTTTTTAGTGCCATAAAAATAACTAATAATAATAAATTAATAGTAAAAACTTTATTTATGACAAAAGAGTTTGTGACAGAATTACTTTAATTAATTATTATCTACTATAATAGAAAATAGGGGTTGATCGTAGAGGGGTGAAAATTAAGGGTTGTATGTATTTTTGTATGTTGTATCATAAAAAAATAAAAACAGTTTTTTTTTTAAATAAAAAATATAAAAATGGGGTGGACCATCCTTAACATATTCGCAGACCTTAACCGATATGCACACAAAATTTCACGAAAATCGGTCAAGCTATTTCGGTTTAATTACAAACACAGTGACACGAGAATTTTATATACCTAGCAGATAATTCGATACCTGTCTTATTATCTTTTTTTAATCCGGTAATACATTAAATACTTTGCGGTTAAAACGCGTTTATAACACAATACTACTACGGTAATATAATCCTACTAAATAAATTTTCAGCGTAAAATCCGATGAGGAAATTAGTTTTTCTTTTATATATATGTCGGACCGATGGATTTATCAACTATATCAAACGAATAATTTATATTGATTCTATAAAGTTTAAGGTACTATTTAATAACTACACTATTACACACCATTGAAAAGTGGTTAATTTAAAGATCTTGCAATATTTGCAAATTAAATAAACAGTATTTAATAACTTAATTAGTAGTGCTTTTGGACTGATTTAGCTTTGTTAATTGATATGCCATTATATATAAAACAACAAATACGGCACAGAAAATTGTACCATAGTGCATGTAATTAAAAGATTTTTAAAGACATGACTGAAAAACTACATGGTATTAATTATTCGCGAACGCGAACTTAAGTAAATAATAACATTAAAGGATGAACGATTTCATAGAAAATTCACTTTGGAAAATTGCTCTCACTCAAGTTATGAGGTACTCGCGATAATTTCTGCGTTACTTCTGATGCGGCCACAAAACACCTCCATTAACTATGATTTATA